CCACGCTGTCCTTTCCGCTTGTCTCTGAGAGTTCTAGCGAGTAGTCTTCTTTCTCCGTATGTCCACCACTCCTCTTCCTCTCCTCCTCCTCCTCCTCGTTCGCCTGTCCGTTTTCTTGGCTGTCACCAGAGACGACCTGGGGAGGACCGGTGGGGGGAAAAACGGTTCAATATGCAACAGATGCCTTTTTAAAGTGGACAGTAATTGGATGTTGGCCGAACAGACGAAGCGTAATCGGCATTTGGAACGGCCGCTGCAACTCCTCTGACCTGTGTGACGGTGCGTCGGATCTTGAGGCCTTTGTCCTGGTCGCCCCGGCTGGTGTCCATGCCCTCCTCGTCCCCGGACATCTGCAGCTCCTCCGGGTTCAGCTCCACCACCACATCCTGGTTCACTTTGATGTCCGGGATCAGAGACTGACGGACCGAGACAGGGACAAGATGTCGGTGGAGGGAGACAATTCTATTTCAATATTTCTGAGTGATCGGTGACCGAACCCTCTTTACAGAGCGGTTCAGGAGCTCCGGTCTGCCTTTTTGTATGAAAATATTACAGTAATACATCAAAAAATATTGCTACGGTTAAAAAGAACATAAATCCTCTAATTCCGCCTGCACGGACAGCTGGTCCCGCTGCGCATGCCGTGCCAGTACCTTCAGTGAGTCAGTGGTGATGCTGATGGATGGCTTCTTAGCGGTGACTGCTGTGCTGGAGCCCCACCGCCTCTTCCTCCCCGCCGCAGTTCCTGCGTCCGTCTCGCCTGCTGCACAATCCGCCGCGGCTGGAGACGTCTTGCTGCCTGCAGAGGGGCCCAGAAAAGATGCGTTTCATCACCGGGAAGAGAGGAGATCAACTCCCAGACGGGCAATTTGCGCGCTGCAGAAGAGAACTATGGTAGCAAGTTTCGACGAGCAGAAATAATTGATTTAATGCTTTAAGTCTGATAGTTTTGGCATCAGTCGCAGTATTATTTTAAAGTTCATTGAGTTTATAAAAAGGGGGATGAAATCATCAACAGTCATCAATCGTCATCATGGAGCTTCTTTCCATGAAAACATGGAGAAGAGCAGGCGGAACAACGAGAGACCAGAGATGCACCAACACAACTTGTGCCCAGGAGGAGCGGAGTCTGTTTGGAGGGTTTTGGTTTTGGAAAATACGACTGAAGTTACATCAGAAAACGATTTCATGCAAAGTTTGTCGAGCCTCTGGTGGCAACACAAGCAGCCACAACTAGCTAACGCGCTAACACACAGGCCACTTGGCGCGAGAGCAGCTTACAGCTGTTGGGGGTCAATAAATGAATGTGTTTACTTGGAAAAGCGATACCGTCAGAGTCTTTCTCAATAGCGTGATATGGATTTTTGGCCAAACTGCACAGCCGTAGTTTCAATAATAATTTCCAATAGTGTTTAATTGACAACAATATTCAACAGGTTGTTACAAGTTTGTCTGGAGCGGTTCTCAGAGGGAGGTTCTGTGCTTCTACTTCTGCCACACTGAGCTCATGGATGCAGCGAGAAATATCGAAGGAACCGAGGATAAATATAGTGAGCCCATGATGGGGTCAAGGGCGCGATATCTTTTAAATATCGCTCAAAATCATTGTTTCCTAAACACTGCTACCACACATATATATGCAAAGGATAAGGCAAAGACTTTGTTGAGGAGGATGTTTCATTGTCCGCTCTGTGGAACCGGTGTACTCACTGGTCAAGGATATCTTGCGGGCAGCGAAGGCCTTCGGAGTGGTGCTCTGGAAGAGACGGAGAAGGAACATACAGAAACCCCAGGGGTGCGGGGCGGCGATGAGAACCAAGAGTCAAACCCAAACAGCACACAGAGGGGAGGTGAAACAGGAAAAGTGGAGGAAGGGGTTAGGGGGGGGGGGGGGGGGGGGGGGCGAGGGGGGTTAAAAAAAAAGGTGCCTGGAGGCTCCAATTGTACCACATTACGGGCTGAGTACTGGGTCAATACAGAGAGACGCCAGACACATTTCTGCCTTCCACCTCTGCTCTAAGAAACGGAGAGAAATCATTACGCTCATCCCACCGTGTGTGTGTGTGTGTGTGTTACTCTCAGAGCAAGTACATCATGTGCATTAGGACGAGTTGGTGCATGTAAAACTTAATCTGGGTCAATATCTCAGTGTTAATACAAGATAATGTCCAGTGGAGGACTCCCCTCTACCCTCAGTGTCCGTTAGTGTGTGTGAGTGGATCTAGACCGGAATTATTATCTCTAGCAAATAGGAGGTGATGTGATTTTAATTTTAAACTTGCAAACGTCTAATCTGTTTTTTAACTGCTAATCAAGTATTGATTACGCCAAAAATAACTAATCATTACCGGTTTTGTCCATAACTAAAAGCAAACCCCGAATTATCAAATAAATAACATTTCCTTAAATAATATTCAAGAGTGCTAAACTAGTCGGTTGCTTGTTAACATTGGTCGACTCTTTCAATGAATACTATGGGAATGGTGTTACAGGTGGCCGCTGGTCGACCTCCGTAGATGTCGTCAGTGAGGAGTTCTGTGGAGCAAAGGTGGAGGACCGAGTGCTGAAGACTCAAAGATCGTTCAGCAGGACTTTGGGTACTGCAGTTTAAATTTGCCTTGACGATAACTCATTTAACAAAGACACCGCTGTTTGTCAAATGTACCACGTACACTTTGGTGTCAAAAATACAAAAACTGCACTACAGGTGACATTTCATTATTTTTTTGTGTGCAAATTACGGGGAGGAAAAATGTATTCTTTGTAATTAGAAAACATGTTTGGTTTTTTTTCCCCAGTTAATCCTATAAAATTGTATACAATTTAAATAGAGGAATAATCACAAGTCATTTCCTGGTACCATTTGACACCTGATTCCTTACTGGCTCGACTATGGCCCAACCGCACGACAGTGAGTACTGTATCTAGGCAACAAGGATCCAATCACAGAAGGCAGAGGAGTGAGGGCAGCGCTCGGTTAGAGTATGCAGATTAGCCACCAGCCACTGGATTGGACTTTTGTTCTTGAATGAGGACTTGTCTTGATTGATCAAAGAGTCAGGTTTCAGTCTTTTGGGGAGCCACGGGTTTCAAATGGCCTTGTGATGGATTCTGACAGGGGGCGGCGGGGGGGGGGGTTGATGTGTACTTTGTTAGAGTCCGTGATCGGTGAGGTACATCTGGGGAGTAAAACAAAAAAATTGAAAAAAAGAAGAAAAAAAAAAAACACTTTTGCAGTGCTTGGATGTATTGTCTTTAATTTGCCAATTTAAAGTCCAGAAGGCCTTTGAGAGAGGCGAGGGGGGTGGGGGGGGGTCCCGTAAGCAGTTCATGGGGTTTCCATAGAAAGTTCGCTTCTATATGATAAAGTGGACAAAAGTAATCCAGCGGCACGCAGTGTTCAGATTATAATCCAGGGGGAAACGAGAGGCTCTGTGGACGCCGTCCTGCCCGTCTCTGCACTCACACGCAATCCATGAGATGCAGAGGAGGAGTCGTGGGTGTGGCGAGGAGATGGATGTCGGGTCCACAGCAGAGGCGGGTTTTCCAGAAGAGCCGTCCGCTGAGACACACGACGGGAGGCGATGATTTGTCGAGTGCATCCAGCTCTGCACGGACGATCAATGTCAACTCTGGACCAGCAAAAATTCTGGGTGCAAAAGGAGTGTCGGATTGCTCCTGTGAAAGTCTGTGTTACAGCTGAACTGGCGCCGAGTTCAGGGGAACGGTTCTTTGGTGAATGACAACGTCGAGCGCGACAACAGAAGCTCCACGGCCCGCTTATGAAGGCAGGGGATGATTGTTGGCCTCACAAGCTCGACCAATGGCGTTAAAGGGCGAGCACAAGTCCACATCGCCAAGTCACAGGCAGGTCGTATCCACCAAGTTATCCAGAGAAAAAAAAAAAAAAAAAAACTTCCATAGTCAGTTGCTTTGTTAGTGTCTTTTCAAACTCAAATCCCCAAACAGTGGCCGTGGAACGGCTCATGTCCGGATCACTGTATGAGTCGTTGCAGGGATTCTCAGTCCAAAGTCATTCCTCCACAGCACAAGCAGGGGGCAGCGTGGCATCAGACCGAGAGCTGAAAACAAAACAGCAGACCCGAAGAGTTCCGTCTTCTCTCTGAGCTGCAACTGGCTTCTGGGGGAAGGCGCCACGGATGCTGTGGGGCAACACTTTTGAGGACGTGCATATCCTCAAAATGACGGATGGGAAAGGTGGAGAAAGGCAACGGGCTCTGGATGCCCTCCCCTTCCTTTACACCATCAGGCACCATTCCCACGCAGTGCGGTACTGTAAAGTCCAGTCGGGTTCAGACCAGCGAGCGGGCTTCCAACCCCTCAGACATGGTTACCATGGCAACTGGGTGCTGCTGCAGTTGCCATGGCTGCCGCTGCTGTTCGACGGTGGTCTGAGTTCCTGCTGGCTCAGCGCGCCACTGGAGGGCTACAGGGGCGGGCCTCGCAGCACTCGGGCTTTAGTCAGTGCCATGGGGGGGGGGGGTCGCAGACTCTGGGCCTAATTCAGGTAACAGCGACGCACTTGGGCATTGCGGGACAGGAGTTGTAGGAGTAGGAGTGGAGGAGGTGTTGGTTGTGGTGGTGGTGGTAGTAGTAGTACGCAGCAGGTACCATTAGGGGCAATGGAAGAGGCATGGGCACCTTCATAACAAAGCAATCAATGGGGTTTTAAACAGCAATCACACCATCAATATATATAGTGAAAGAGAAGCTTTCATGATGGGATACAGAGGCAAAAGATGGAAAGTAAAAAGGTACAAAGAGGGGCAGAGGGACAGTGAAAGAGTGAATACAGAGAAGGGATACAGAGACAGTGTGGAAGGAGCCAGTGAGAGGGCAGAGAATGGAAGCAGCAGAAACGAGCCCTTATTCATCTCTACACACACTGTCAGGCCATTACTCATGCAAACACACACAGTAGATGGAGTAGAAAACCCACACACTTAAACAATAAAAAGTAAGACATGCTCCTAACACCATGATGTGGAGAGGTGCGCCCCATTAGATCTAATACAGGTACTCAAGAGGAAATGCACTGTATGTTTGTGGTGGCGGACCCTATGACCTTCACTCAGACATGCTAGCTATGCAATAAGCTTCCACAATGATCATCTGTGGTCTAATGTGGTTGTAAAGGTGAAAAAAATGCATCTTAAATGTATTATTTGTAGAAGTAAATCTGCTTGTGACGATGATGGTTGAGACCCTGACACAACAACGTGCTCTGATCAACCCAAACGCGCTGGCGAGGCAGAGCCTACGCCGTCTTCCCAATAGAGTTTGGAAAATGGAGATGAATAACCCGTGGCAGAGCTCCTCGGAACCGGCATCTCCTGCCATAGGTTCAAAGTTCTCGACCGGAGTAGTGCCAACCAGGGGCGGATAAATCACAAAAACGAAGGGCCGTGGATCTGCACAGCTTTGGATAATCGGCTGGATGTGTCAGGGCGCTCAAGTTGAATGGGTTTCTGTCTCAATTTCTCCCACAGACACACACACACTTAACATTGCTCAGCAAGTAGCAGACAGACATGGCAAGTGTGTGAGAGATCATATAAGTTATGAAATAATAGCTGCATTAATGGGGGTGGATTAGTTCATTTTTCTAATTGCCCAGAGAACCCAACTCCAACCCAACCCCCGTTTGCTCGCCCACGAGCATTTGCAGAAACCTTGAATTTATTAATGTGATGAGCTTAGAGACGACACAGAAACTGTGTCGAGAGCTAAAAATCGAGGTGATTAAAATCCCCACAGGAGCAAAATAAATCAGCGCTTTCAATAACCTCGGGGTTGCGTTGGTTTTAAGTTCCCCTACCAACTTGTGCTGCCGACTACACGTGCTTTAAATCTGAATGAGGATGCAGGTTAGTCGGAGACAGGGCAAGACCCAGGCACCCCCCCCCCCCACCTTCCCCCCCAACCCCACCCCCAGTGGGCCTTACCTCCTCCAGACGACCCTCGCTGTTCTTCCGGTCCGCCCCGGAGGGCGGCTGCTGGGCGTTGGAGCTCTCGGAGTCCGGTTCCGCCTCCGGCGCTGCTGCGGCGCTGGGCTCCGACACCTCCCTGCAGGAGGCAGACACGTTTTGGGGTTGAGGGAGGGAGGGGTGAGGAGAAAACAGGCTTGGGCAGTGAAACACTGTCGGCGAGCGCAGGGATATTTAATGAATCAAGCGATTGCTTCCTTGAGCTTTATTTAAATCACTTCCAGCCTGGTATTTGTAGAAGTAATTGATGATGCAATTATACACTATGATGATGACGATGATAAAGGTCTAGCAGCATCAAAGGCATTTAGCCCCAGCGTCCCATTGAACCCTTTCACCAAGTCCCGCAACTCAAATGCAGGCTGGCCACCTTCAGATTTTCTGCAGTGTCGGGCCAGTGGAGAGGGATTGAGCCGGTCGCGGTAGAGCATTTATTAATAATGATATTTGTTACCCGGAGAGGTTGGAAGCTCGTGGTACCTCTAATCCTGACGGCACAGGAGCAACAATCAGGCTGTAATGCTTTTCTTTGATCAACGGCAGGGCTCGTCTTAGCAGACCGAACGATGTGTAGGAAATACCGGGATGTGCCGTAGGAAGGGTGCTGGGGGGGGGGGCACTGATCTGGGTCACAACTGCTATGAATAACTCCCCAGCTAACCGACACCCAGGAGGGTCACAAACACTCCCCAAGCGAACTCACAACACGGGACAGCCGACGGCATGTGCGCTCGGTCTTAATCCGATCCACGCTGGGTCATTATTGTGAAAGAAGAAAACAAAAAGCGGCCGATAAAAGCACCACTTAGCAGTTACTGCGCATCAGACCTCGCACGTCCAAAAGCTTCTTCTCGCTGTTTGATGCATGCGCAGTTATCGAAGACAGAGCAAAAGCAGGCAGTTGTCATCGTTGTATGTTTAGCTACACCCTCGACACCCCCCCCCCCCGACCGCAGAGGCTGCTGCACCCTGTAGGTGGGAGCAGCGCATCTTCTAGCATCCTACTCCATCACAGTGCACTCTCGCTGCTTTGACTCGCTACATGATGCTTTTGCATTCAACAGGATGAGGAAGTAAATAATACAATTGAAAAAAGAAAAAAAAGTAGGTGTTTGAAAGGTGCCAACGACTATCAGCGGCATGTTTAGTGTTAAACGGTTATTGCAGAATTTCCTGGAAAGAAAGACAGCATCTTTTTATTCTGCTATATTCATCATTAGGATAATATTTTCAATGTTTGGCCTCAGAAAAAAAAAAAAAAAAATCTAAAAAGGCAAATCACAATTAATACAGCAATCGTTACAGGCATTAGTCGAGTGACCTCCAAAGTGAAGGTGGCAGAGGCCACTCGAGTTGCCCCTGAAGATAATCTCAAACACAGAGCCCCCTTCACCAAAGGCTCTTTGAGAAGAGAAATCCAGCCTCCTCCTTTGGATATTAGTCAATGAGGAGCGTGGGCAGGAGGACAGCCGTTTTCCCCCATGACACAATGGCTCTCCTCAGCTGCCCTAGGTGTGGATGTCAGTGTGTGTGTGTGTGTCTCTTGGGTAAGGCCATAGACACACCTGGGCAGCATTTAAAAAAAAGGGAGACAGATGTCTACTACAAATAAAATCCCCCAGGATCAGGAAAGACCAGGCCAACGGAGTTGCTCAACAGAATTACTCAGATCACGTCCAGATCAACAGACTGAAGCCGTAAATCTGAGCCTCACATTCTCTCCCATCAAATCGGACCCACGGTGGCTCACATCGGACCCACGGTGGGCTCTCAGGGGAGGAGAGTGAGCGCTGGTGCCAGCTGGGAGAGTTATATCACACCATAAGGGTCCATTCACACTTACTGTACAGCCAACAGATGTCTGCTTTAATGATCTCCCTCGACAACAGTGAGATCATTAACAGCTAAAGCCGCAGAAAAAAACCAAATAAAAATATATAAATCCTCTGTGGCGTAGACCTCCAGATGCATGCGCGGCGTGGCCATAAACGAGCCATACCGGGATAACAAAACGAGGACGCCATCGGTGAATAACACACATGTTTCTCCTCTTTATCGATCATCTACCTCGCATGACAAGAGAAAACGTCGAGGTCAGAGGAGAAATCTCAGTTCGCATGACTTTCCTCAGCGCACCATGAAATCTGAGCCCATTATTTATTAATCAAATGTGCTCCTCCAATGTGACGCTATTTTAGGCACCGATCATAGAAGGGAGACCACCCCCCAGATTTAAAAAGGAAAAAAAAGATCTTCCCTGCTCCTTCACTCCCAACAAAAGACCCCCCGCACGGTCCCACCCCCGGTCCTCCTCACATGGGCGAACACGCTGATGAGCAGGCCGACGTGAAACCGGTGACACGCTTAAGAAAGGCAGGAAGCGTCAGCATCGCAATGTGCAGCGGGCCGATCTGCACACGTTGATTCGCGACGAGACGCTGCGAACAGCAGACCGAAGCCCCGAGTCGCCCTCTAGCTCGCTCTTACCCGTTTTTGTTGCCTTCGGACAGCATTATTAGCCGGCCTTCAAAGGGAACCCTCCCCCGGGGGACAAAATATGTCGCTCGGCCCGCCGACGAGGAGTCCGGTCAGGCGTCGGTGGAAATCGGGGACGCGGAATAAAATGAATGAATCCGATCGCGGTTGTTTCTACCGCTGATTAGCCGTGCACTGCGTCGGTATCAGGGATGCAGTGCATGCATGGCGGCCATGTTGGCTAGCGAGACCTGTGTCAAGTCTGCCAGAGTGGGGGAAAGATATATATCTTCCGGTCAAAGATTTCCAAAATAAAAGCTACCGAAGCTGCTCAAACGTGTCGCATTCGGAATTATGATCAAACTAAAATAGCAACTGAGCGACGAACTGCGCTGCGTGGTAAGTAGGAGCTGTGCTACCGGCCACAGAGGGAAAGTACATGAAAAAGACCGCCGGGACGATGCAATGAGGGAAGGCGAAAACAAAGGACCCCCTTTTTTTCCTCAAGGGAAAAGCAGCAGCGGCCACGCCGCTGGTGGGGCTGCCGCAGTGAACGCCTGACGAGAAATACAAGCTGCTCCGCCATCGATTAAGGAGGAGCAGCTTTTTAAATGGGAACGGCATGTTTTATACCTTTTTAGATGATTAGGAGTACAATGTTAAATTGCTACTACTACTCATAGACACAGAGACTAATGCAGACACCGCGCTGTCTGTGTTAATACTAAATACGTGTGATTCCTCCATCGTAGACAAAAGATCGAACAAACAAAACAAATCAAAAAAGCGTTGCTCATGTAATCGGTAATCCGATTTAGTAACTTAGTACACATAGACAACATTTTTCCACGGTTGAAGTGCTCCTTTCATGATTTTATCTGCCCATTTAATGCGCTTATACAAGTACTTTCTAAGTTGAGATATCCCAAAAGAAGAGAGAGAATCGCTCAATTTATTGAAAAAACAAACAACACACACATTACAAAATCTGTTGATAAGTAGTATATAACTACAGGGAGCACCCTAAGAAATGATGGTGTTGCATCTAGGATGCAAATTGTTAAGTATGGTTATTTTCTTATGCTGTGACACCAACAACCCCTTACGATCTAAAGACTTATTTCCACTAGATTTAAAAGAGGTAAACTGCTTTTTAATGATGGTTACTAACCTTTTTGAAAGAAATTGTTTCCCCGCCTTGCTCCGGTTAGGGTTTTTCTCATCCTCTGCATCATGCTCTGTCTTCTGTGGAATGATTAAAAAAATAAAAAATAGCAGTACAACCAACAACAGGTCAAACATCTCTATAAAGGCTGCAGTGAACGACGAAACCCACATCGGTTTGATCACTAACCTTCAGCTTTTTGACAGGGATGATTTTATCCTCACAGGAGGAAGAAGACGATTGGGAAGAAGAGTCTGATTTGGAGTCAGAATCTGAGGAGGAACCCGGGTCTTGGGCCTCGGTCACGGCCACCTTTCCTTTGCTGGCCGTCTCCTGTTTCTTTTCCTTCTCCCTTAGAAGCTTCTCCTCCCTTCTCTTCTCCTCTTGCTGTTTTTGTTTCGCTTTTTCTTTATCCTCTTGCTGTTGTTTTCTCTCCTTTTCCTTTTCCTCTTGCTGTTGTTTTCTCTCCTTTTCCTTTTCCTCTTGCTGGCGTTTTCTCTCTTTCTCTCGCTCCTCTTTCTGACGCTCTTTCTCCTCCTCTTCCAGCCGTTTCCTCTCCTTTTCCTTCTCTTCTTCCAAGCGTTTCTTCTCTCTCTCCTGTTCTTGGACCCTCTTCCTTTCTCTCTCCTGCTTCTGGTGTTGCTCTCTCTCTTTCTCCTCCTTCAGACGCCTTTCTTCCTCCACTTCTCTGTTCTCTTGGAGCCTCTTTCTCTCCATTCTAAGCAGTGAAGATTCACTGGAAGTGGCGGAGCCAGCGGTGGAGTGTGCGGCCTGCCCAGACATATCTACAGCGGAGGAAGCCTCTGCTCCACAAAAAGCCCCCTCTGACTCCATCTTGTGTACTAGCAGAGAAAGGGGCCCTGGCCTGCGATTTATAGAGGGCTCGGGACTGCTGGAGCGAGAGCTGGAGTCAGAGTCTTGCCTCTGCATGGTGGAAGGTGGGAAGGGCGGCACCCTCGGGCCACATGACGCCTCGGGGGCTTCTCCCTCCTGGTCGTCTGTGTCTGGTGGGCTCTGTTTGGGAGTGTCAGGTAGGGGAAACAAGTCAGGAGGTGGAGAGGGAGGAGGAGTGGGGTGGCGCAGTTGCATTGGTGTGTGGTGTACCTGTGGAGGTGGGATGTGCTGGGGAGGCTGAAGCTTGCGTTTGGATCTCGCAACTGTTGATGGGGCGCTCGGAGGTATCTGCTGCGGCTGAGGAGGTGCTCGGTTCCCCCTGCGCGCCCCGCCGGGGCCGGGTCCCCAATCCTCGTCATCCTCGCTCTCGTCATCACCGTCGTCATCGTCATCATCACTGTCCTCGGGGGCCTGACCTCCTCCTCCTCCTCCCCCTCCTCCTGACACTCCGGCAGAACGGCTAAGGTGCAGCACAGGGTGAGCGGATCCGGGCTCACTCGGTGCGGTGCCCTCCTTCTCCTGGGCTCGGGGTACCGCGGGGGGCAGACCCTGGCGGTCAGGCTGACCCAGGACGCGCACCGACAGCGAGGCTACAGCGCGGGGAGGAGATGGGGCCGGTGGTTCCTTATGTCCTTGATGAAAGGTGCCTCGCTGCATCCTTACTGCAGGAGCCTCACTGAACTCCTGGGGGTGAAGGACGGGGCCGGGGCCAGAGGTGGGGCCACATGCCATCATCACATGACCCATCAGTGGTTCCCCTCCTCCTTTGCCCTCCTCTGCCCTGGTCATCGAGGGCTTAGTGGGGATTTTGGGATGCTTCTGGGCAAAACAAATGGGAGTAAGTCCGAGAGAACGCTAGAGGCCTACATTGGTTTTATACGTTCATTCACATGTTGTGACATGTAAAGGATGACCACAGGAGAACAATTCAAACACACAAATGTTGGGAATATTTGGACTAGTTAAGTTAAACATGGTAGGTATTGAAAAAATATGATTTTCACAGCATTGTGTCATCAGTTTGAAGCATCCTGGTGTGTCCTGCTGTGAAGGATTAATCCTTAGTTTCATCATTCAGTCTGTGGAGCTTGCTGACCTTGTCAGAGACATAGGAAGAGCAGTCATTGTCCTCCGAGTGGTCTTCATCCTCCTCCACCACTGCTGGGCTTTCTGTCAGGAAGGGACACCAAGAGGCGTTAAGACATCAGTTAAGACCCACTGGGCCCCAACCGAGGAGAACCTCAGGATGAACTGGGATAGTTTTGTGTAAGTTAATTCAAGTAAAAGTGAAAATGGTGAAAGAGACAGTGAGTGTCCTTCAGAAACACGCAAAGTTTGTGGGGGATTGTGTTCATTGTCTGGTTTGTGATGGTGTGTGTTTATGTATTACCTTCTGCCTCCTCCTCTTGTTGAGCTTCTCTCTCCAGTCTCTGGCGGAGGAGCTCCTGCTGCTTGGCCAGGTACTGTTTTATGAAGCTATTCTGGCTCATCTCCTCACCGATCTACAAGATAATAACGTACACAAAACAGCACTTTATTCAAACCTCCGCACCTTAAAACCCACAATCAAAGAGCAGTGACTGACTGTGCATGTAAGTATTTCTTCAGTCTGGAGAGTATTGGTAGTAAATTAAATGAAGGAAATATTCTATGGGTTTGATCTCATGTCAATAAAACAAATCAATATAATACAACAATGTAGAGCTTAAAATATCCACACATACTAAATAAGTAAAATATATTCTTACCTGAGAGTTGGGCTGCAACCCACTGTGAGAGGAGGAAGACTTCTGAAGATTTTCAAGCATCAGAGCCTGCGAGGAACAAGGAGCGGTTTTAAATGTAAAATATTGCTTCATAGGTAAAAATATACTTTTTAAGGTGCCAGTTTGCTGCTACAACCCTGAATCTGTGCTTTTTAATCTAAATGTGACTGGCCTCTAATCACTTTATTTGTAACGGGACACTGAACGGAGAGAAATGGAAATGAACAAACCTTGCATAACTATTACCCTCTGGCCCGTGCAGCATCATTTACACTATTTTAAATGCTTGGTTCATTTGTCCAATGTGTCTTTCTTTAATGCAGAGAACGTGCATCACCAAACCCATTGTAGCACCACTTGTTTGATCTGACACGGGCAACATTGCCGCACATCATTCCAATCTTTGCCCATATGAGCTACAATAATAAGCCACTATATTTCAGACAAAAAAATACTACAAATTACATTTATTGGACCACTTTTAGTCAATAAAAAATAAATAATTGACTCATGATGATCAAACAAGTGTTTATTTGCTCACAGCATTTAAACATTCGTTTAGGAAAATAGACATTACATAACAGTTTATAAAGAAAGACAAAACGTTTAAAAAATATTTGTTTTGTTTAATGTTTTTTTAGTAGAGACCTGTCGGAGCCAACATCTTCCTGGGGAGGGGGGGTGACTTTTGAGACTCATGACCACAGTATTTCTAAAAACCGAGCCGTGGCCCCGGAACCTACGGGTTTTATGGACGGCGATTCGCGCGAAACAACAACGGTGTTTGGTAATAACAAATAACTTGAAAAACCGAACAAAGTACTCGTTGGCTAAGCTCGTAAAAACGGTGTTTACATGGCGAGGCGCGCCCCCGTAACCCCCGTACACTCACAAACGGAGCGCGGGCACGATCGCGTACTGTACGCTGTGTGCACTCGGCTTAGGCCTCGACTTGACAGGTGCACAGTTCAACTGTGTGCAACACGGTGCACGGAGTGTAGTTACGGTTTAATTACCAACTCGTTCGGTGGGGTAGTGGCGCCGCGTCGGCGGCCACACGCGGCCCAAAACAGCAACTGTCGTGGACGCGTATTTAACGCGAGCCAGGCGATTTATGTATTCCCGCTCCCGAAGCCCGCACGCCGTTACGGCCTCTAACGTTAACCCCCGCCGTCTCGCGGCTCCCTGCTGAACTTAGCCAGACTCGATAAGCGGCCATAACACGGGCGGAAACTTACCCCTTTCAGCCGCTTGAGGAGAGTATTTTTCTGCCCGCTCTTCGGGAGGTTTCTTTGCTCCAGAGCGGCTTTTAAATCCGCCACTCGCAGCGATTGTAGAGGTTTCCCATCAAGCGTAATATCTTCGTCCGCCATTTTCCTCCCTCCGCTTGTCTAAACTCCCAACGAGCGTCGCTACGGCTGCTGCTCCGCGTCACAGCTCGGCAGTTTCCGGAAGCGCTCGGTTCGTCCGAAGCTCACAGCAGGAAGGTGACAGTCGCAAAAGGCAGATCCTGGGCCCTGGTTATGTAGCGTGGTTTCATTCGAATATTTAATAGTCTACGGCGCAGTATGGTGTACTGATGGAGAAAAAATATATATATTGTTGCTTCTAAAAATAGATATTCAAATAAATGAACATATTGAAAAAAAAGTCCAAACATATTTGTTTAATTACAAAAGATGTATTTGTGCATTCTGAACAGGAATACAAGACAGACATCAAATGTAGTGTTAAACTTAAGCTGTATTACTGTTGGAAAGTCAAAGATTCAGTTTGATACCCTCTCAGCAAATACAGATGGACTCATACGAGTTCATATTGTAGAAAACTTCCTTGTACAAAAGAAAAAAAAAACAGCTACATATTTGAACTGCAGCGTAGCATATTTTTCAGAAAAAGAGATGTTCATTTGTAAATTACCCAGAAATATTGCCCCACGGCAAAGTGTGTGCATATATCAAATTCAAGCAAATTAAAGCCATGCAAACTGGAAAGAACATGAAAAATTGACAGGAATAAATATACTGCTAAAGGTAACTTGCCAATCACGTTCTCATCATTCATAAGAGTGTGGAGCTTGTATTTAAAAAGAACAAAAAACAATACCTTAAACATCCACACGGTGCCACTACAGCAAGGAGATGCGAAAGCAGGCAGAACTCCGATTGAAAGAATGATTTAAACAGTGAGAAAATGATTATGCAACGCTCTGATGATACTGACTTTGATCTGGAAGTATGAAAGATAAAACAAGATGACCAACCATAAGAGCGAGCGCGCAAAGCATTAGAACTTTGGATATGCCCTTTGTAGTGTTGAGGGTTGTGTAGTGTTCAACATCAAACCAACATATCAAATCTGATAAGTGGTATAAAAAGGAACAATGTTAAGACATCAGACTGTAGTAGTATTTTCTGGAGGAAAGGAAACTGGTTAACTATGCTGTGCTTCACGTCACCATTTCAACCAGGGCTCGGTAATACGTATAATAAATTCCAAACCATGTTCCCCTGCAATGACTTGTATTATTCATGATTATATATGCATCCACTCGCAGCATTAGTTTCGACCCAACGCAATAAACGCAGGAGTGAGTAAGCACTGCTGACAGTGGTCGAGCAGTTTGTGGGAAACAACAAAAGTCAAAAGTATGCATGCGAATCGTAACAAGACGTGTGGAGACAGGTGAGCTTGGAACGGGTTTATCATCCGCTGCCAGGTTCCCACGTGAGTGTGGGAAAAGAACAGGACGAGGCCATTTCTCACCCAACTATCGAAACCGACCGCGATTCTATCTCTGTGTGACAGGATGGCACGTTCTTATTTACACTGAAAAGGTTTTGAGCGGTTTCTGAGCCGTTCTAGTGTACACGGGTAGACAAATACTTGCACAGATTTATGAATGTAAGTCAGGCGAACTTCCTACTCGACAACTTACTCCATATCTTATATCTTCTCTATTATAAGCCCCAAACACTCAATGCGCTGCTTCGACAGCTGGAAAATGATAACCACAAAAGGGCCATTCAGGTTAACAGTAAAAAAGTAGGCCAGAACCAGGATGTTAGGCCTCCTTCTGGGCTATTTGTGGAACAGAGGGGGATGGCTGAATAAATAGAGGGAGGAAAGAAAGAAAATATGGCAAACATAATAAAGCAAAGCTCCAATGATCAACCGTTCGCACGGACACTCAAAGCCACGGCTTCATATATTCAATATTTTAACACTCGGGGTGGGGGAAGGCATCAAAGCACGGAGGTCAGTGTATAAACAAAAGGCAAGCCAACACACACACACACACACGCGCACACACACGGAGAGGAGGAAAGGAACCAACGCTCAACAACCCATCTCAGTAACAGCTGCAGCGAAACACAAACTCCAAGGTTCGCGTCGATCCCGTTCAACAAATAAGGCATTTAAAACATTTTAAAAAGAGGAGAAAACATGTAGGCGCGTAGTGTAAACAACGTTTTTAAGCGGAGGGGTGTGAAACATCATGAAGATATTTCGGCCAGGCGCTGCAGCAGCGTGGAGAAGCCGGCGGCCTGCTGGGAGAGCTCGGCCACGCGGTCCACCATCTCCTGGGTGGCGGGTACAGACGGGTAGTTTTGTGCGGCGCCCTTTGTTGCCACGACCACAGACTTCAAGGCCTGACAGAGTCGTCCTCCTGAGGTTGTGATCTAGGTTTAAAAAAACAAAAAAAAAAACACAAAAATGATTTATTCCACAACTTTGGTAGATTTAAATTGTTTTAAAACTGACTTTTTACTCTACATTAAGACTCGAGCAGGCATAGTTATAAGTCAAAAAGACCCATTCTCGCCATGTCAAACGTCTCTCTCTCCCTCTCTCCATACCTTGGCCCGGAGGTCGGCGGAGGTGAGGAGGCGGGAGAGCGTGTCCCCGATAAACACCAGCTTGTGCGCCGTCACGATGAGGCTCTTCCCCCGGGCGACGAAGATGCGCGGCGGCTGGTTGCCCTGCACGCTGCTGAAGAGCACGTCGATGGCGTCCGCCAGGCAGGAGAGGTGAGCGAGACTCTGGGACGAGTAAAAGGACAGCAGCTCCGAGTCCTCCAGGGAGAGGGACAGCGGGAGAGGAGGGGACGGGGTCAACTGTGCGAGGGAGGAGGAGGTTAGAGTTTGTGCAGCACAACTTTCCCCGACAGTCACATATGTGACAAATATAACGCATTATAATAGAAAAGTGAGAAACACTTTTTCTTTTCAGCCTTAGAAATGCACAGATGTTTTTCACACTGGGCTTTTCTGTCACTTATTGTCCTGCAGCCTCCGTCTATGTGAGGCAAGATTGTTACGATTCACAAATGGCCACTTGTTGGTCGCCTGTGGCGTAACCAAGGAACCCAGAAAGGAGCAGAAAGACATGCAGACTGAGCGATGAGAAAAACGTGACCTCAGTCTCAAGAAACATGAGCCAGAACCGACCCAAGAGAGAACAGAAGACAAGACGTGACTGTTTCTCTGCTTATGTGTGCTGTCTCAAGACTGGAAGCTTTGATGTTGGATTATCAGGAGAACAAAGACTGGCATCATTAGAAGATTCTCTTAAGAATGATGGATGTCTGCACAGCTTCACGAGGCAGGGGTTAACGTGATGTTCAGGCAGGTGGTGTTGGGTAAACATTGGGTGTGTGTGTGTGTGTGTGCAGACTAAAGATGGGTTTTGACCAAGGAGCTGCAGCGAGCTGGATTAATCAGTCAGTGTGTTCATTAGTAAACACGCCGAACAACAGAGCGAATCAATGACTCATTTGTGTCGACTCGCTGTGTGTTTCTGTTCAACAAAAACTTTTGTATTGCAGAAGTGAAGGATTGTGTGTTTGCGGCGGTAAACAGGAAGAAGAGACGTACCATTGGATCTGCATTGATCGTCTGCATGTGTCCGTTCTCACTAAGAATATCAGGAAGTGGCTCAGGTTTACCCTGATGTGGGAGAAAGAACAGTCAGACACGTATCCAGACAGCGTGGCTGCCATAGATCCTCATGTGCACTCAAGACACGTATGAACAGTTAGCAGCAAATGAGTGCAAAATAAATAAAAATAATCATGTGATTATAAATGATAGTAAAAACACTACTTGGCTGCCTGAAAAAGTATTGAAATGAAAATAAATTTATTTCATCATGAAAGCAGACCTGCAGCTTGACGTATCCTACGCTGTCTCCAGTGGGCGCGGGGGGCGGGATGGGCGTCAAGCCGATGCCCGCGTACTCGTTGCTGGGGTCGTCCTCGCCGTCGCCGGGGCCTATGGTCACCGTCACCGTCGACAGAGCGGGCGGCAGGGGGAAGGCGGGCTGAGGTGTCGGCGGCAGGGGCCGCTCCTGGATCCAGCTGCCTTTGCGGGAGCCCATCCCGCCGGCCGAGGGCTTCCCGTCGGGCAGCGGGAGCGCGGGCAGCGGCCGGCGGGACAGCGAGTCCTGTGAAGGCAACCGCGGTCGGCCCTGAGCCTGCAGGAGGAGGGCGCTCTCCTCCAGGGAGCGCTGGACCAGCGTCAACAGCCCCTCGGAGGGCGGCGCGGCGCCCACGGCGGACAGCGCCGGCAGGAGGTCCGAGAGGCGGGCCCACGCCTGCTGCAGAGGCGGCGGGGGGTCGTCGGCGTGGCACGCCTTCCAGGTGGACAGGATCTCCGCCAGCGAGGTGGCCAGCTCCCGTGACGACAGAGCGGAGGCCGAGCCGGAGGCGGCGCTCAGCACCGCGTGGACGAGGCCGGACAGCGTGGCCCTCCACTGCACGTCGCCCGAGCCGTTGCTGGAGACGGAGAGGCGGCGGGTGGAGGTGGAGGACGACGACAGGGAGCGGGGGAGGACGTCGGCGGACAGCGCGGGCATGTCGTAGATGCCGCGGTCGGGCTCACAAGAGTCCCGGTTGTGACCTCCGCCGGCGACTCGCTTCTCAGACCCCGGGACCCGATAGAGCTGTCCGGCGTCCTCGCCGGAGAGGCTGGCGGTGGACTCGCCCGGGCCCAGAGGCACCCCCGGGAGCGTAGGAACACTGTACACGTCTTCTTCGACCTCTTCCGGCTGGGCGTCTGACGCGGATGGATTGAGCGTGATGGTGGGGACGTCGTAGACCTGGTGGAGGAGAAGACAGAGGGAATGTTTCTGGAATTCCGCGTGTTGTTCTCTTTATGGCCGTGAGGATAACGGGTCATTTCTATGGAGACAGACTTTAAGACTTTAGACTTCCTTTAAACCCGGCTGGTGCTTGGATGATCTGGTAAAAAAGCAAAAACGCATTGCACAAAGTCCAAACGTTGGCAAGAGACCCGTTAGTCTGCAAGAAGAGCGAAGTCTAAAAGCAGGGAGTCAACGTGCGGTAATTGCAGGCAACGGGGGAAAAAAAAGAATCCAACAGCTGGCAGACGTATTTCAGTAACGTTAAAGGGGGAGACCGCTGGGGGCAGGGTGCTGGTGGACGGGCTTTGGTGTGGCCTCGACAGATGGGTGTGACTGGGAGAAAATAGCACCAGCATTTGGACTGGTTAGACTGGCTCTCCCAGTAGAGAGGGAGAGACAGGTGTGGCCCCGCCATGGAGGAGGGGGGGCAGGGACACAGACCGATGGCGGAATGCGGGGAGAAAGGGTGTCAGGGAGTCATCTGTTGTTGCTTCACTTGTGCAGACATGAATTCAAAACACCAGGTTCCCGTCATTTCTCAGTCTACTTTAATATTCATAAAGATTGTCATTTAAATGTCGGAATACGAAAGAAAACCTTAATTATAGGCATAACAGAAAAAGACCTCTGGAATACGTCATTGATTCAAATGCCTGCAGACTGCAAAACCCAAATTATACGTCAACAGACATTTCAATCTCCCAAATGTGATAAAAGTCATATATGTCCGGAGGGTCTTTACCTCAGTCTCAGAATCAGCTTGTGGTGGGACACAGCGAGGGGTGTCGTAGATGCCGTCATCGTCGTCGCCACGGGACGACCCGACAGGCCGCTGCCACCTGCCACTGGGAGGAGTATCATACACCTACCAACACAAAGCAAACCGATTGCCGGTGTTGGTCGATCGTAAGTTGTACATTTTTCAAACAGGCCGATCAAAGCTCGGACAACGTGCCAACTGGCTCCACGCGCAGCAATAAATTACATTTTTGGATCAATATATAAAAAACAAATGACCCTACAACAACAACACGCGAGGTCGGTGAAGCAGAAATCACAAACCTGGTCATCCACATCATCCGAGTAATCCGGCTTATCTCCCCTTTTGTTCAGCATGTTGTTGCTTTTCTCCAGGAGACCATTCGTCCGGTCATCCTTGCTCTCAGGACCCCCCCTCGGTTTGTCCTCCTCTTGCTGAGGGCTCGCAGAAGTGACCTGAGCGTTGGGTTTGGGGTAACCGTTTGAATCAGCCAATGACTGTGCAGCCTCTTTCTTGGTGACTCCCCTCACCGGAGGTGCGGGTGGAGGAGGTTTGCGGGCAAAATTCGGCGAGCCGGGGACCCTGACCTTCCCCGCTCGGCCCAGCAAAGGAGACCCCCGGTGAGCGGCCATGCTGGGTTTGCCCCTGGCCACGGCGGGGCTTGGTGGAACTCCCTTGAGCAGAGCTCTGGGAGATCCTTGCATCTGGGATAATGGAGATGGGTGCTGGTGGGCCAAAACGGTGGCTGAAGTCCTGTGGAGGCTTGCTCCCACTGGGGTGGGTGTCTGATACATAGCCGGCGTGTCCTGGTTCACTTTCAGCTGCGGGTTACCAGGGATTCCACTGGGACCGGTAGGGCACACCCCTCCAGTAGGGGACTGGTAAACATCGTCGCCTGCGAGAGGCGTACCTTTGGGCACCAGATAACAGTCGTCCGAGGTTGCTGACGTTAGTGTTTCTCTAGGGACTAAATATGTCGTGTCCTCGGGTTCATCGGCAGCCCTCGGAACTCCGGTGGGGGCGAGGTACACAGACTCTGAAGCGGCCGGTCTGGCATGCGGAGCTCCTGAAGGCACGGGACTTCCCGGAGTCTGATAAAGCGTCCCCGACACCTCTGCACCTCGACCTCTCAGAGAGGGCGAGCGCGGACGCCCCCCCACCCCCAAGTCCCAGTCGGGTCTCGGCCGGAGGCCCGAGCTCGAGTGGGAGCGCGGGCGCCCGCCCTCGACTCTGCGGAGCTCCCCGGGCCTCAGCGCAGCTCCTCGTGGCTCGCCGATGCCCGGCGGCGAGCGGTACACGCCGTCCACGTCCTCGGCACTGCCGCCACCGGCGGTCCGGGCCATCGGCGGGACAGGCGACAGGTACACAGAGTCCTCGGCGGAGCCGCGCCGCGGGTCGGAGCCCGGGGCCGGGGCCGTCTGGAGGAGTTTGAGGCGGTTCGCCGGGGCGATGCCCTGTCTGCCATGCAGGGAGCAGAGCCACCAGCCCGGCCCGCCGCCCTGCTCCTGCTCCAGAACCATCAGTATGTCCCCCTTACGGAAAGCCAGCTCCTCCGGGCTCTCTGCTGCGTTGTCGAACAGCGCCTTCGCCAATACCGTCTGAGAGGGAGGACGAGAACAAAAGAAGAGGTCGTAAAAAAAAAACAGGGCCTGCCATTCAAATCATCCAAAACCCAGCAAACGGCCATTAAAAGTAATCGACAGCGTAAATTCACACAAGCTAGAGTCTCACATCTGTTCACCACAAACAAACAAGGACATTGACGTGGCGCTGCCAAGTCAGTAGTATCAAAAGGCTGATTGTTTGGGGCTATTGAACGGAGAGTCAATGGGAGTGAATCGGGAACATCTCGTTAAAAACTTTCAGAGGCAGAGACAGGAAGAGGCTGGGCGAACAAAAATAATAATAATATGGTAAAAGCTGGGCATCATGACAAAGTCAAAATTCACAGCTGTGTAAATAATTATGAGGCTGAGCGAAAGAGGGGCACAGTCGGGGAGGATCAATGTTCGCAGGGACACAAGGGCTTAATGGTAATGAGCGAGATGAGGAGGCGGGGGAGGGGATAAGAGGCACATCTGTCCCTCGCTGTTTAGGATTTAATTGCCCATCCTAAAGCCAGAGAGTCAGGCCCCCTTTCATTTTCTAAACCAACCCCCTGGGGGACAACTGGGCTCCATCGAGCCATGTGGGGCCCCCTTACAATAGTAATGGAGGCAATGAGGTGTCCTGGTGCACTATTATAGATACGGTGAGATAAGTCACAATAATACAACATTCAAATCATAAACTATTTAGCGTCAAAAACTGTTTCATATCACTATGAAACCATCAAAGGCGTAAATTAAAATGAGTGCATGCATACTCACGGAGACCGACATCGTTGCTTAGTGAACAGTAAAGACTCAGAGAAGATCACTCCAGGGTCCCGGTCGGCCGGGGTCGTCCATCGAGGTCGGCGCTGGTTCTCACGGACGAGCAGGTCGCCAGAGGGTCTCGGTGCTGAAGCACGGCAGAGTCGGGGGGAGGACACATCTCACAGCCCGGGCTTCACGCGGACCCCCATTCCTCCACGACACGTTCATGCAAAACACGGTTCAGTAAGTGAGCACATGTGAAACGAAGAAACGGTAGGCGGAAAGCGGTAACACCTGTCCCCCCTCTTCTCCACGCCCAATGGCGTAAACGTCACGTTAACTGCGAGCTAACGTTAGCTTAGCAGCAACATTAAAAAAAATAGCGTGCACGATCAAAAAAAAATATTTTTTTTATTATACATAGCTATTGAGGTAGGAACGAGGATTCGTTTAAGTATAGGAAAATGTTAGCTTGAATGAGGCCAGCTGTTCTGTCGCGGCCTAGCTGCTAGCTATGTAGTTAGCTTTACGCTAGGTAGCTAGCTATACGTTAAAAGATGGTTATCTTCATCGCCTTTCGCTGCTAACGCGAAAGTTCAGCTCCAAAGCAACAATGGCACCGCCGGGTGAAACGCGTCGCGCTCCTCTGCTCTCCGGTAAACGGGAGTGACCAAAGCCACCACCGTAAAAAATAATTCGGGTTACCTTTTTTTTTTTGAATATTATCGCCCGTAAACCTCGCATCGGCGTACAGTCCGGGTCCGTTCTAATCACTTCTTCTCAGGCGTGAAAATCTGAGGCCGTCGGCGTTCAATCATCTTCGGCGATGACAACAACGTTATCTCCGCCTCCTCGCGCCTCGCGCAGTTATCAGATCTGTAAGCGTAACGCTCGCCTGCGCTTAAGCGTTTAGACCGATCCAGCGCTTGTGAGCTCGCGTCACTCTGCCGCTGGGAACACGCCGCGTTTATGATTGGTTCGTTGCTGCGAGATGCGTTTAGCGGCGTCCGGATTTTTGTGTTAATCGGAAAACGATGCTGTGAAAAAAAGGCTAAATGTGTGTTCCGTGTATATTAGAGGACAGTACCGGAACATGCATTTCCTGAACGAATGACATCATTGTTTTTAACTGACTTGGTTTCAGTCGATTTCGTTTTGCTTCTGACTGAAAGCTTTTATTTTGACAGCGTGAATCTTACCCGGAAAACACAATGACACATGAGTCGACTAAAGGTCCAGAAGTAGACTTTGTCTTTTAACAAATTTCTCCTCTGTTCGATCTCACCTTCAATACTGCATACACTGAAAGGTGAGATAATGCGAACAATCACATTTGTGTAATTGCATTAACGCTGGTTGGTTATGCAACAAAGTGTCCGTCGTAAAACTTTTACTAAATTTTCGTTCGCCTTTAATCCCGTACTATTACGTTGCTGCAGCATCCTGATGTATTTACAGCTGTATTCATTGTTGAAGTGTAATTGTTTATTTGTTTACTTCCATCTCAAAGCACCGCAAGCTTGTGACCCAGCACCGTCAGGTGACCTCTACCCTAGAAACACCGTTTTAATATAAATAACATCCGTGGACGTTCTGTGCTCACAGGGGATGTTGAGGAGTGTATTCAGGTGCCTTGGAACCAATCCTGTTGTTGGCCGAAGAAGTATGTCTCAAAGTAGCCTCGCCGGAAAGGTAGCCATAGTCACCGCCTCCACGGATGGGTATGAACCGCTTTATGAATTCCTCTTTTGTCCGTACTCTCCAAAAAATACGCAAAAAAACAACTGAGCAAAAAACAAATGACTTTTGAAATACTTATATTACGTCCTGATGAAGCAGTGAACATTCCCTTAGCTTAGATGATGTTTAAACTCTACTTAGCGGCGATCACATGAAGTAAAGCTGGGCAAAGGCTTTTGTTTGTGAGATGGCCATAAATGGTCCCAAATTACAGAGAGGAATGGTGCTGATTTTACTAGGCTGGTATTGAGCGCACGCTTACCTGCTTCCTAAAAACAGAACTGTAAACTGCAACACTCCAGGTCAGAAAAGGCCCCGGCAAAGTGACGCATCAGGATCACAAAATAAGCTGGTAGCATCACTATGGGGAAATAGGCTTCATGTCTTTATTATTCAAAGGATTGATCCTTGCAATGATCTGAAACGAGCGTCTCACATAATGATGTCATGTTAACCGTGACATCATTATTTAAGCACCCCCACCCCCCCCTCCTCCTCTTCAGAATTGGTCTGGCTGCAGCTCAGGCTCTGGGAAAGAGAGGAGCCCACGTGGTGGTGAGCAGCCGGCGGCAGGCCAACGTGGACAAGGCCGTGGCGCTGCTGCAGAGCCACAGCATCCAGGTGACTGGCACCACCTGTAACGTGGGCAAGGCGGAAGACCGAGAAAAACTGCTCCAAACGGTGGGTCCACGTGGCTGAGCGGCCATCGTTGTGAGGGGATTCATGTGACTTATGACGTTAATAGTGTCACCGGGTGTTTGGGCCAGACCCTGGATCAGTGCGGCGGCGTTGACATTCTGGTATCCAACGCGGCGGTCAACCCTTTCTTCGGAAACATCATGGAGTCCACACAGGACGTGTGGGACAAGGTACGTCCCAACGGGGATCACTTTAGAAAAGCCAGAAGAATTGTTTGAACGGCTGTGAGAAGCTTTCCGTCTTCCTGCGTTTGTTTCTGTTGACGTTGGATCATTCCTCCGTAGATCCTGTCTGTCAACGTGACGTCGGCCTTCCTCATGACCAAGTTGGTGGTGCCTCACATGGTGAAGAGGGGGTGAGCGACTGACCCAAAACACAATCCAAACTACACACGCTGTGCATTTAACCACAAATGCCCCGTGTCGCTCTATTGTAGAGGTGGCAACGTGGTGTTTGTGTCGTCTGTGGCTGGATACCAACCCATGCAGGTGAGTCAGAGCGCTTGCATTCGGATAGACGCGAGGTGGAGACCCGCGTTAAAGGACGCCGCGTCTCCGTCTCTGCAGGCTTTGAGTCCTTACAGCGTGAGTAAGACTGCTCTGCTGGGGCTGACCCGCGCTCTGGCCCCCGAGCTGGCCCAAGATAACATCCGAGTGAACTGCGTGGCCCCGGGGGTCATCAAGACCCGCTTCAGCTCCGCGGTGAGGAGCAGAAAAAACACTCAGATCCCACATTTACAAGCCGGGTGGGGGGGTTATTTGTTAAAAGTTAACATCTCTCTGACACATTGTGTCCTTGCAGTTATGGGGAAACGAAGACATCGTGGACGAGTTTAAAAAGCAGCTCAGCATCAAAAGGTACGACTCGTCACGAGCGGCGCACGAATTACAGACGCACAAATGCCACATCTCACACTTTGCCCGACAGAATCGGAGAGCCAGAGGAGGTGGGGGGAGTGATCGCCTTCTTGTGCTCCGAGGAGGCTTCCTACATCACCGGAGAGACCGTCACCGTGACCGGAGGGATCGGCTGCCGACTCTGATTCTCCATGGGGGGCGCAACTGAACTATTTGACTGAATGCACCCTAATAGGAAACAACAAATTCATTTAAAAAGTCCATGTGATGAGGTGTAATTAAATTTCTAAATGAATGTGAAGGTTTTCAAATCAAGCACACATGCCTCCATGTCATGTTTAAATGCTCCAACTGTAGGAAATGACCCACTTCTGCATCACATTGGTTTTAAATATTCCGGTCTTTATTTACATAAAACAACACACTGACAATCTGGAAAAGGACACACATCTGCACGACGGGCACCTATGAGCAGAGAAAAGTCCACGACGACAGAAAAGATTTCGGCGGGTGAAATCCATTTGCCTCATCTGCCTCCAGTAGACTTCAGGTCCCGCTGCGTCGTCCCGGGCTTCCAGAACTCCCGCAGCGTGGGAACATACGTGCCGTGTTTGGTCTTGTGGTAGCGCTTCACGAACAGCTGAGGGAAGAGAGTCAGAAGGACACCGACGACGGATCAAACTCAAAACGTACGTGTTTTTTGTTTTTTTTTAAGCATCGTGTTTTGGAGAATACACACCCTGCTTTTGAAGTTCTTAGTCGCCTCGTCCTCGGAGTCGGCCACGTAGTCGTCGGAGCAGACTACGAGGCCCGACGTCGCTGAGCACACAAAAGACACCACGGTTAAAAAAAACAAAAAAAAAAAAGTTGTTTTTTTTACGAAGCTTTGCGTTGGAGAGACCTGGTTTGTTCGATCACCTGTGTGACGGCGCTGCAGAGAGGGAGAGCTGCTCATACTTGGTAATACAGGAAGATTTCTGCCAAGAAGAAACGACAATTAAACCACAAAGTCAAGTCATCGCTTCGTTAATTCAATTTTTAACAGCTGGTGAATAGCGCAGGAAATCCTTTCACTGAGCTTTTTCTATTGGAGTCTTAAGAATAACACAAAACACTGAAATGCAGATGAATCATAAATAAGATTCTCTTCATTAGGATCTGCAATTCCAAATTAAAATTGTGATTTAAAATCACTAAGAATATCTGACAGACCGAAAAACCAAATGAAACCGGAAACTTTGCACTAAATCAGTTGTTTTATTGTATTTAGAGAGTTTAAACAACTACAATGTTTACTTCTTTTTATATACATCACTTAAATGTCTCAAGGGTTCTCCTGTTTTGTCAATGACTTCACCAAAGTACCACACAAGGACACGAGGCAGTGAAAAAGATAGAGAACAAAGTCAGAAACGCTTCACGTAGTTTAGCTGGCTTTGGAAGGCGCTTGCTGGCGTGTTTTGCACCGTGTTGCCACATCTCTTACTCTTTATCCTCCAGCTGTGGGTCCAGCGGCCGGCTGTGGCTCTGCACCGCGGCTTTGGCTGGTGAACGCCTCCTCGGAGTCGGCGTTTTCGCGTAGGAGGAGTCTCCGGCGAGAGTCATTTTATCCACCTCAACTCTGGGTTGGCTCTTCAGGCAGGTGACAAAGACGGAGCAGAGGAACGGATCGTCGGGGAGGTGCAGCCTTCGGACGCCCAGTCGGGTCAAACAGCCCTCCAGGGCACGCCGCTCGCTTTCTACGGCTCCTCGGCTCCCACCGCTCCGACTCGGCTCGGTCGTGCTCGCTACATTTCTTAAACTCATGCTCACGCTCTCTTCCCCGGAACTGGATATGCAGACCACCTCCTCCACCTCCTCAGATTCGCTTTCTCCTTGGTCGGGTTGCTTGCGCTTTATTCCACCTTCTGAGGCCGTTTTGAGGTGTCGCTCTCCCGCCTCCACTCGTTCTTCACCATCTTTCGTCTGTCTCTCTTTGACCCCAGTGTATTTCAAGTTCTTTTTGGGGTGCGGGTGCTCATTTGTTGCATCCGTTTTCCTCACCATAGCCGGCACGTCTTCGTTGGATATGAGTCCGATAACGGGTGTGATGAATGCCGTTTTGTCTGCTCTCTGTGTGCTATTGGACTGGTCCGCTCGGGACGTTTTGGCTCCTGTTGATGGATTTGAAGGTATCCTTCCAGAGGGGGGCAGAGAAAGTGAAGCTAGGATGGAGTCTCCCATGTTCGGAGGGAGCGATGCTGTAAAAACAACAACAACATGTGGATAATGAGAACCATCAGTGATCTACAGTCATTGCAGCTAAGGGGGCTTAGAGAAGCTCAGGAGGGCAGTAATGGAATAGTTCTACCTGCAGCCTCCAGGTGGCCCAGACAGGTTTGATGTTGAAGCAAGACCCTGAGGAGCTGCGGTTGGGTCGCCGCCCGCGCACACTCCTCCAGGACAGCGGGCGCTTCGCTGAGCCACGACACCGTCTGTGGACAAACAAACAGCTTTTCATTTTCAGACGACTACCAGCTACAGTCAAAGCACTTTGCTTTTTCACATCTTTCATCCACCGCAACTACATATTATTGATTTAAATTGTTCTTGCGGGCGGAAACTTCCAACTAACAAGAGTTGTTAGTTGACTTTTTACAGAAGACTGCACTGTGTAACGGGATGAGGGAGAGACCGTAGTGGGTGAAGCATCGGGGGGGGAAGAAGCCCCAACTACCTGAGCAAGGCTGGGAACCGGAAGTAACTGATCCAGTCGAATCAAAAACTCCCACAGGAGCTTCTCCAGCTCCTGGTCAAACTTTGGCCCGTAATCCAAAGGAAAGTCCTCCTGTCGGAAGAGAGGAGAACAAGGGTTGGCTTGTACATTTCTATGTGGCTTAGCAGAGAAATTATCACAATACACACTGATATCAGGTCTTCTGTTGTATGATTGAGGAGGGACTCACCTCGTAGAAGCGTTGTCTCTCCGTTGGATCTTTTAGCAAAATGTCAACTAGTAAATTGAAACTTTCCACTGTTTTCCGGACCTTTACGTCCCTCTTCTAGGAGCAAGAAAAGCAAAAGTTACATCTATTCCATGCTGGAGTGATAACATATGCGTTCTATAATCAAAAACTAAACATCTGAAGTTTACCCTTTGTTTCTGATCTGATCAAATATTGTGCGTTAAAGTGTCTGACCGCTTAGATTAATCGATACGTTTAATTCTCTAATCACTGACCGTGGTCGTATTGCTGTGCATTAAGCGTAAGGCGTTTTTTCTTTGGATTAAAACCAAACTAAAAACAGTTATGAGTGACAAAAAAAATACATTTGACGTGCTGATGGACATTAAATTAAATTTACCATTGCAGAAGCGCAGGAGGTTGACATAGCAGCAGGAGCGCGCATCCTCTTCAGGTGCGGCACGATGACCTTTTCCTCCGGCCGCCTGCTGCACAGCTCCAAGATCAACTGAAAATAAAAATGCTCTCGATGTACATCTCTAAAAGGACAATAACACGATGGGACAGAATAAGGTGGGGAGGGTGGAGGGGGGGTGTAGGAGTCGCATCGGAGGCTCACTCGTTCTCTTAGCCCCAGAGCCAGCTTGGCCTGGTGTCTCACGGTCAGCAGATCCTGGGACGGTCTCGCAGGCGGGAGGTCACGACTTTCCTCCACCACCTCGTACTGCATCACGGTTCTCTTCTTCATCCACTTTCCAGAGGGCCGCCGACAACCAGGGCGCACCGGCGGGGCGAGGAGCGTGAGTGCGGCGAAGGGAAAGGCTGCCATCTGGGGCAGGACAAAAATAAAATACACGTCAGACACCCAATGGCATCGCTCCACCGACACCCACCTCAACCTTAAAACGAACATGACTCAACCAAGTTTACTACGACGTTGACAAACACGGTTTCACACGCAGCACTCCAATGCTCACCGTTTTCATCGGTACTTCTTGTAGCCATACTCACTGGGTCGGAAAGTCAGTGGAGGTTTACAAGCTGACGTTAATTAAACGGTAGATTAGCAACGTGGACACATTACTCCACGAGTGAACTTCGAGCGGACAAAGAAGGAACAGTTGTCAAGGAAACGCAGCTGACAACGTGTTCGCTCCGCGCTGTGTATCATTACACCCCGTCCCTGTTGTTGTTGTTGTTGTTGTTGTTTAGCCCACCCGAACAAAGCTCCGCCAAAAGTTGTGGTTCTCAGCCTCCCGCCTTCCTCAGACTTTATCAATTTCCAGGGATTATTATTCGTCTGCACCGAGTGGGCGGTGCTTCACGCATTCGGCACGGAAAACATAGGCTCGGATACGAAACCCCGCTCACACGTGCCACTGTAAGATTTAAAAGAAGCGCACCCATTGCGTTTTACCGGACGTGACGCAGCAGCATATCCGGCAGCCGATGGTCGCACCTGTTTTGCCATAAAACGTTACAGTTCATGGATTTTACTGGTTAATATGTTATAATGGTAAAAGAAAGTATTAGAAACTACATTTGTAGACGGAAGGATGTGAACAATAGCAAAGCATGGAAGAATTAAAAGATAATTGTCTTTGCAAAGGCCAAAATTAGTCTATAAAAACTATTATACATCATCATTATGAGTGTAGATTTGAATAATGAGAATACATTAGAGGTATCAATGTTTCTGTAATACATATACATGAAATTACCTTATTTTAGCTGTCACACAAAAAAAATGAAATAACAAATATAAGGAATTCTTATTAAAACTGATTGAAACTAATCTTTGTAAAATGTAAAATGTCCCTATACAATCAGACCTTTCAGATTTTTTTTAAACTCTCAAATATCAATATTTGTATTAACTACCTAGCACGAGTCGGGCTGTAGAGGTAATAACTCTTGTCAGATGATGAAAGAATGTCCCAAACACACAAACACACTCATGCTCGATGACCTTCGCCCTGTGCTTTTATCTATCAGAGTCATCAACAGATTCGGGGCAAAGTCCGGCTGCTGGGTCGAACACAAATAGTCCTGACAGTATCGCTAGTTGTTAAACCAACACAACCTACCACAAAACAAGGCTGTGAGACGAGAAACCAAGACACTGACGAGGATGGACACAACATCTTCATTTATCAAGTAAGTGAACCATTAGTTTCTGCCTGTGGTTATTCTATTTATCGGCTTAATGATCCATATATCTTGGACGTTGCAAAAATAATGTAATTTCAAGCTAAATGGTATCGGACGATATGGTGTTGTCTCGTTGTTATTGGGCCTCTAATAGCTTTCTCTGTGGCATTTCCTCAGATCCGTGACCAAGCGAGTGTGGTCTCCACCACAGCGTCCCTTCAGAGTCTGTCGTCATGACAGGGAGACCAGGAAGGGCATCACAGCCGGGACCCTGGAGGAGCTGAAAGAGAGGGTGAGGAAACAAAAAAAACAAACATAAATAACAGAATCAGGGTAAGGCTGCTTGAACACTTACTGACTGAAACATGGTCTTGTCTCAAATCTTTGTCAGAGCCTTGATGACGTCAAATATGTGATCACATCATGACTCAAGGCCAAAGTATGAGTTAAAATGTGTAACCTGCTGAATTAAAGGGTTTCATATTCTCATCTTCACAGCTTCATATTTCTATGAGAATAAATACTGATCAAATAGGCTGATAAAAAATGCTTTTGTCGGAGTTTCTATACAACTGGGTTCCCCGCTAAAATAATGTTGTCATATACAACAGAAAAATGACGTTGTAGGATGTTGAAGCTTTGTGTAAATCCGCGCTGTAGGTGTGCCAGGCTCTGCTGCTGCCCCTGTCTGCGACGTCTCTGTCCCTGGCCTGTGAGGAGGACGGCACGGAGGTGGACTCCGACGAGTTCCTCATGACCCTGCCCGACAACACCATGCTCATGGCCTTGGAGCCTGGACAGACGTGGAGACCACAGCCGGTGTGTTCCACCAAACGTTGCCCCCTCCCGCCATGTTGTCACGCATTTCTTTCTCCTTTTGTATCTCGGCATCAGAAACACTTGACGTGTGACCGCTGTCTCTGATCCACCAGGGTGCGGTCGTGTCCAGATCCCATGAGCTCAGCAAGCCTCGCACCGGGAGAGACATCGCTCGCGTCACCTTTGACCTTTACAGGATGAGCCCGAAGGATGTTTTCGGCTCCCTGAATGTGAAGGCCACCTTTCAAGGCCTGTACTCTGTGAGCGCTAACTTTGAATGTCTGGGGCCCAAGAAAATCCTCAGGTGAGTGAGAGGGAAGATGATGTGGGTCATAAATAAAACATGATAATTAAACATGAGAGAAGATTGTTAATGCGAAAAGTACCTTTATACTATCGGGTGGTTAGGTCAAATGGTTCCCAATCTATGGTGCCCTTACCAAAGAGCCCCACAGAGTTTAATTTACTAAACAATTACTGGATTATTTCACCTCTTGTGACCTCATACGAGTGATCTAAATGACTCAATAGTAGTTTGATATGAAGTGTGACTTGCACAGGTAGTTGTGCAGCGAACCAAACCAAACCAATGGCACTCTGTCTCCACTCGGTTTTTCAGAGAAGCCCTGCGCGTGGCCTCCGCCCTGCTGCACGCCGCCGGCCACCTGCTTATCACTTCGGCCTCCATGATCCGCCGCATCATCGAAGGCGCTGAGCTTTGGCAGCCGCAGAGGACCGAGTACACGGCCAGCTGGAACTAACAGAGCCGAGAGAGAAAGAGAGAGAGACCTATTCATCTGAAACATCTGGTCCGATTGTGTAGTCTGGATTAGATCTTGAATAGTATTCCCTTCACAGAGCATCGCGTTGGGAAACTATGGTTTAGTCTGAATGTCCTGCCAGTTACCTTTAATGAGGCCATCTGTCATATCTGTGACAGTAAATCATGATAGACTTATGTATATGGTAGATTTATGATGTGATATGCTTCAGGTTATAGACAGAATGTAACAGACAAAATAAATGTCTGTAACAGCAGAGGAATTGTAAATCTTTATAACATGAAAATGTGCGTCATAGGTTGACATTTGTGCAATATATACATAATGCTCGAATATACTTGAGTTGTGCTTTATTTTTGTTTATTTGGTGAAGATCACCTACAGATGATCCTACACTTCAAGAAAAAACAGTAGAACAACATATTTGGCACGGTTCTATCAAACACCCGCCTTTAAGTTTAAAACATCAACACGAAAATGTAAAAGTCTCGAGACGCGTTGCCGTCACTCCCTTTCAGTTTGCATCAAGTCCGCGAGCCGTTGCATCGTTTTCTCCTTTGGGTACACCGGCGTGCTCACCTCCTCCCACGAGCTGCAGCTCCCGCCTCCCTCGAGCCTCGTCCTCCAGGCGGCTCCTCCTCCATCGCAGCCTCCTCCTCCATCGCCGCCGCCTCCTCCATCGCCGCCTCCTCCTGCATCGCCGCCGCCTCGTCCTCCATCGCCAGCTCCTCCTCCAACGCCGCCTCCTCCTCCATCGCCACCTCCTCCTCCAACGCCGCCTCCTCCTCCATCGCCTCCTCCTCCATCTTCTATGTCGGCCCCTCGGGACTGCACCTTCTCCAGCGACCTCATGTTCTGCTGGTCCCTGATGGTGGCCAGCGCCCGGGCGTACTGCTCGTCGCTCAGCCAGCGCGGGTGGAATTTCTTGATGTAGTAGCGCATGTCGCCGAACCACTGGACCAACACGTAGCGCGGCATGTCGATCGCCTCCGACAGCCGGCTGTAGTCCTCCACGTTGGGATACTGGCACTGCGAGAACGCCGCCTGCATCATCTTCAGCTGGGCCCGCGACTTCGTCCTGAAGCGGACATGGGCGGGGGCCGCGCGTCCGTCCCTGTCGAGGTCGGTCTGCGTTTCCATTTCCAGTTTCAGCGGCCCTCGGTGGACGCAAGTGACGGGAGGCACGTGGACGGCCGGAGTTTGAGGGCTCGCATCCAGCAGGTCATTGGGCCCCTGGAGGCTGTGGCGGGAAGGCCACCCCTGGACGGGCGCTAATGTTTGGTTTGACTTTGCCTCCTTCTTTTTGGCAAAATGTGTCGTCTCATCAGCTCCTTCGATTCTTGTTTCTTCCCCCTCTGCTCTCTCCCCAACGCCTTCTCCCTCGTGCTTCACGCTCTTCTTTCCCATGTTGTTGGTCACAGTCATTCTCTTGCGCTTCTTTGGGTTATTCCGTTTGTCTCCTTCTTTTCTGTCCTTGGGTTTCTCCGCCAGTTGCTCCAGCTTCATGTCCAATCTCTCCGCTGCTCTCCCGTTTTCTTCCACCATCCGTCCATCTCTTGCACTCCGTTCCTCCGGAACCTTTCCTCCGTGCTCTGTCCCCTCTCCGTTTTGCACTTCGTCCTTACCCAGACCTGACGTTAACTCCTTACGGACATTGGGGATGTCTTCGGCGTCCCAGCTGATGCCGTAGCGGAGCCTCTGTGCTATGAACCACACCTTCACCTGGTCCGGGTGCAGAGAGCAGTGCTGTGCCAGTTCGGCGGTCCGTTTCTGTGTCAGGTACGGAAACTGGTCGAAGGCCTCGTTCAGCTTGGCCTCACCATCCAGCTGCAGGTTTATCTGGTTCGAGGGAACCCATATGAGCTTCTGGCTGTCAGAGACCAGGGGGAGACACACCACACTGCACTGGTTCCCACTGAAGGCAGCGTTCGCTTCTGATAAAGTCTTTCCAGGAGCGTTGGGTGTGTTCTGTCCGAGACGGGGGAGTCCTCCATCTGCTTTTTGACTCATCTTTCATATGGGTTGGGATGACCCCTGGAAATAGCAGACAAAGCATAATAAAAACAAAGAAATAAGAAAGGAAATACCTGATAAAAACTGAAAGGTTTGCCATTTTTATAGGAGTTACAGCAAATACTGAGAAGATATACATTTACTACAAGTCACACATTTTTCTTTGATGGCAGATGTCCCCTAAATATTTCTGGTGGTATTTGGTGAATGTGAGCTACCATGCAAACGAGTGAAGATGACTTAATGCAAAAGTCGATTTAAGCTTAAAATAGACAAATCTATCAATTCCCAGGTGAACTTCCAATATACAATAAAAGTGACTTATTATCTACTTTTACTTTAATATAAGAGTATATAAGCAAAAACACATGTTTAATCGAGTGTTATTGTGTTTGTTATTCATCATTGTTATCCATACTCAGATCCGTCATTAAAGTTGTCTAATTTCAAAAGGTTACACATTATAAGCAAAATACCCTCAAATGAACTACAATAAAAGTATTAATTTGGTGAATCAATCATTTCAAAGTTTTAGTTTAATATTTAATGTAGCCTACCATATTTGTTCATCCACCAGGGGTTTTGGATCCAGAGTTAACAATGAAGCAGAACTGAAATCCAGAAGGATAAAACACCTCGTGGAGGTATTAAAAAATAGGACGTTTCTCCAGAGAAGAGAAGTAACGTTGAAAGTCACGCTGCACATCGGAGTGCTGTCCGATGTATTCACAAACTATGACGGTTTAATTAACTAAATAGTTGATAAAATACCATAAATGAATAACTGTAACCCGTAATTGGGGTAAAACATTTATAACAAGTGACCATTGAGTTTAGAATATCACGCGCAGACGTTACCGGTCATCGATTCCGATGATTGATCGGCTTGTTTGTTAGCATTAGCCGCATCGCTAGCTAGTTAGCTTGCCTGCGTTAGCTTGTTGACAACCCAATGCTAACGCTAGCTGTTATGATGCGGAACATTGAGCTACTTTGGATTCAGGTTTAAAGGCCATGGCGGCGCCAAGAAGACATTGATAAGATCATTAAAGTCACATAACGAGGGGTTTTGGTTCCCAACGTACCTTTCGGAGCAGAAAGAAGTCTCGTCTGACAGTTTACTAGTCACGTAAATACAGATTATTTAATCAGTGCGCGTTGGTATCAATTAGGAGAACCTGCTGCATCGATCCTGCAGACGCGGATAAATCACCATCGTCAAGGTTATGTTCATCTATGCATTGACAATGTTTGACAGTGAGATGCTTTCCCCTCTTTTTGTTCATTTCAAATGCTGTTAAAATGAGTTAAAATGTATTATAAAATATATTTAAACGAGATATGGTTAAACCCTGCAGATGTTTCTCGACCTGGTTTTATTGAAATACAGATTTGTTTTTGACGATAATCCATTGATGCATTTAGTTGGATACAAATATTTAGTGGTGCTCATTTAAGTTTTATTTTAATCAAAACCCAATCTGAAGTTAATGCTGTGAACTTCTCAGAGAGTGGGTGCTCCATTGTTGTGTTTTAAAAAGTTATAAAATAAATTCCACTCCCATGGGTGTGCAATCAAAGGAATATGACTCCTGGAGTCCAAAGATCATGTTCCAACCCTTGAACTTCTGCTTTAGCACAAGTAAAATTGACGTGCGGCGCATTCGGACCAGAGACTGAGAGATCCGAAACAGGTGAACCACTAAATTCAGCAAAATCTTACTTCATTTGCCGTTTTCTGCCTATACGGGCCACAGGATCATTCGGACAACACTGATTTTTCAAGAAAAATCCAATCAGGACTTCCTGCCTCTGAAAATATGTCTGACAAGAACATACCAGAGGACCCGCGAGTCATCCTGTGCGACATGTGCACTGGGGAGGACAGGAAGCCGGCACGGAAGACCTGCATGAAGTGTGAGATCTCCATGTGCGTCCAGCACCTGCAGGCCCACCTGACAACGCCTGTGTTACTGCAGACGCACCCTCTGACCGAGCCGATGGCTTTGTGTGGGTCCACTAAATGCCCCCAACACGGCAAACTCCTGGAGTACTACTGCTTGGATGACCTGACCTGTGTGTGCGTTTCCTGCGCCATTGAGGACCGGCACCGCGTACACAACATGAAGACCTTCTCCACGGCCCACAGAGAGCTCAAGGAGAAGCTTGACGCCGAGCAGCGGGCCTTACAGACGGAGGAAAACCTGAGTCTGGAAAAGTGGAAAAAGAGTGAGAGAGAGAAGGTTGTTCGGTCCGGCGTGCGTCTCATGGAGGCCGTGACGCTCCTGCGAGATGCCGCCCTGACGGCTGTCCAGAGTTCAGTGTCTGCTCGCACGCAGTTGATCACAACCAGCAAGAGCAGCATGCAGGCAGCCCAGAAGGAGGAGGACACCTTCAGATTCCTGCAGATGTATTCCCAGGTGTTCCACGACGTGGAGAAGGCCAAGGCCGTGGACCTGAGGAGGGGCTTGGAGCCCGGCAGTGAGCGGGACAAACTGCTCCAGGAGATGAGACAGAACGGGGAAAAAATGCTAAAGCAAGCGGGCGACTTTTGGGGCTCGCTGTTGACTCTGGTTAATCCAGAGGACCAGCAAGAGCTCCCTGCCGCTTGGTCGGACCTGACCTTTCACCCACAGACTTTGGCCACCGGCATGTCACTGTCCAAAGACAAAAGGAAGGTTTTCCACGCTAGTTGGTTGGGGCAGTGTTCTGCCACTCTTCTAATCCGCAGCACCCGGGCGGCTCCTGAACCTCAAAGTTGGATGGTCAGTCTTTCCCGAGACTCTGACTGGACCGTCGGCTTGTGTGACAAAGAGCAAATGAATAACATTAGGTTGGGACCTGTCTACGGTCTGTGCTGTGAAGGTAACCAGCTGAGTTCTCTCACCACCGAGTGGGAAGAGTATGATGACCGTCCACTGGGCACATCACACAGGGTTTCCTCTACGCCGATCACACATCAGGGGAACCACGGAGCTGAGGTCGCACCACGACCCGAGGTGGTGGAGGTGGTTCAGGACTTTGGGTCTTCCTCGCTGTCCTTCTTCAGCAGAAGCGGACGGTGCCTGAGGGACAAAAAAATCACAATTAAGATGGACCCCAAGAAACAGAACCTGGCCCCCTTTGTTCAGATAACAAAGAAAAAGGCCCCAATTTCCCACAAGGAGACTATACTAAACCCTTTTCAGCCCCCCTCTGTGGCGTTCACTGGAGGCAATTTGATCCCCGACCCTCGCGCTGGTGGAGCAATTAATGATGATGTTCGGACCACAGAGGTGGTTTGTGAACTTCACTAACGGGTGGAACACTGCTGATCATTGCTCACCATTAGACAAATCAAAGAAGTACATGGCAGGAATTATCTTCAATGTTAACGTCTATGACAATTCATTAAGTAGTTTTTCGAACAAAGAAATCAGTAATAAACCAATGATGTGATTTTTAGTTGACAAAAGGAACCTTGTGTACTTAAATGCAATCCTTTATCCTTCTTTTGATTGAAGAGATGTAAATTGATTCTGTGTGTTTGTCTCCATCTGCTGGTGTTGACGTGAGTTTACTCACACTGTAAATGATCCGATCAATAATAAAGCTGGAACAATTGTAGAATGTTTGTTTTTTATTGACCTTTTTAAACAAATGAATTTAAAAGCTGTAAGAAAAATGAAATCAAGGAGTTTGTGGCAGAAAAATAAAGACTGTGTGTGAAGTGCTCATCGTTCAAAGCCTCCAAGGAACAACCGCTTAATTTAAAGGAATATGAAGAATCATAAATTAATTTAAATGCACACATTGTTGACATTAAGCCCACACAAACTTTGGTCCTGAACTGGAGCAGCTGGAACCAGAGAAGAGGATATTTCTTGCTGTGTTCTCTAGTGCTGCACTCGGTACATCCTGGTCCGTATATATAAATCTCAAAATATAATTTGCCTACTTTGTAGTTCCATAACATATGTATGAAATGATAAAATAAACTAAATATTAGACATTCAAGTGCAAGAATGTAAAAAGCGATGGAATTGTTGAATTTCTAAATAGATTCATTTTATATTTAAGACATTAGTGTTTTTTGTATATGTGCGTTTGGCGCTGGCTTACAGCAGAATCTCAGCGGGGGGCATAAAGCCCTGTCGTGGTTACTGTTGATAGGAAGCGGCAGATGTGCATACAAGTGGAAAAGAACAACATGCAAAGAGACAAACTAGTTTAGCTCTTTGCTATCCAGAAACACTCCTTGAAAAAGAAAAAAAAGTCTCAAGTTCCAAAACATATGTCTGGGAAGTCAAAACCCATCAAATGAAATTGCATCAGACCATAACTGTAAATAGTAAAAGTAGCTTAAAGCATTAATATTAATATGCAAAGTAGCTTAAAGCATTAATATGCACGTCTGTTCCCTCCTCCGTGTGCGGCGTCCCGCGGTCAGACGGGCCGTGTTGTCGACACGTCGCTGCATCCGAAGGACTTTCAGCCGTCGTTGCCGAAGACGGTGTTGAGCTGCTGGGTGACCCTGATGAAGGTGGTCCTGCGGCTTAGCTCCTTCAGTTTGCCCGCACCGACGTAGGTGCAGGAGGAGCGGACCCCGCCCAGGACGTCTCGTATCGTCCCCTCCACCGGGCCTTTGTAAGGGACCTCCACTGTCTTCCCCTCCGAAGCTCTGGTGGCGGGAAAAAGAAGAAGAAAAAAACCCACTTTGATTATCCTCTCAGACACTGTTTACTGCGTACAGCCCGATCACCCATCTAACCCCCCCAAATCCGTGGGGGGCGGGGCTCTGACCTGTAGTCGGCCACGCCCCCTGCGTGCTTCTGCATCGCCGTGTCGGAGCTCATGCCGTAGAAGAGCTTGTACTTCTTGCCGCCCTTCTCGATGACCTCCCCCCCGCTTTCCGAGTGGCCGGCCAACATGCCGCCCAGCATCACGAAGTCCGCGCCGGCGCCGAAGGCCTTGGAGACGTCTCCCGGGCAGGTGCACCCCCCGTCCTGCGGGAGACCAGCCCATCGTTACTCCTACGGGAACCGTGCAGGAATCCTGATTTAAGATCACCGGGTGACCAGAGGGGAGAGTGACTCACGGAGATGATGTGGCCCCCCAGGCCGTGGGCCGCGTCGGCACACTCGATCACGGCGCTGAGCTGCGGGTACCCCACCCCCGTCTTCTTGCGGGTGGTGCACACAGAGCCTGTAGAGGAAGACACAGGGGGCATGAGATGACTTTCTTTCTCCTTTAGGAAAGTTCCTAACTTTAATATAAACACACGTAGACATCGAGAAATGTCCCTCAGTTTCACCTGGTCCGATGCCTACTTTGATGATGTCGGCGCCAGCCAGAATCAGCTCCTCCACCATCTCGCCTGTCACCACGTTTCCTGCCTGAGCCCAAATCAGAATGATCATTAAAAAAAAAAGGGAAACTGCGAACATTCACTATCCAGCCCGTCGCGCTGCAGTTCGGAGGCAGACGTCCACTGACCATTATAGTGTGCGAGCGGAACTTCTCCCTCACGTCTTTGACGAAGTGGACAAAGTGCTCGGAGTAGCCGTTGGCCACGTCCACGCAGATGTACTGCAGCTGTGGCACCGCCGCCACGATGGCTGAAATCCGGTCAAAGTCGCCTTCCCCGGTCCCTGTGCTGACCGCTACATTCTGAGGGGCAAACGGACAAGAGGACACCTGCGTTACAACAAATAGGACCTGACGTAGAGGTGGTATAATAATGAACACTGTAAGTACCTTCAGGCAGTCGGGATTCTTTTTCGCAAACTCCACCCAGTCATCCACGGAGTAGTGTTTGTGAACCGTGGTGAAGAGAGTGAACTAGTGTCGGGGGGGGGAAGATACATAGCATTTAAATAAATTGTGACCCAGTGTTCTCTTTGTTAGATACAGACACATCCCCCGCGATGCACCGTTTACTTTGTGCAAAGCCAGCGCCATCTCAAAGGTCCCCACGGTGTCCATGTTGGCAGCGATGATGGGGATCCCTTTGTACGTGCCCTTGGAGTTCCTGAAAGTGTAGCTCCTCATTAGGTCCACCTGGGGAAAGGTGAGACAAATGGGACTTTGGTGGATTTGTCCTATTCACTTGAGCAGTGATTCACAGCTGGCTGCTCTCTCCATCTTTAATGGCGGCAGGCGTTGTGTGGAGGAGAGAGAGAGAGAGAGAGACCCTCAGCCGGTTCACACACCTCGCTCCTTGACTTGAGGGTGCTTCGCTTTGGACGGAGGAGCACATCCTTGAAGTCCAGCTTGATGTCATTCTCAATGCGAGGCATTTTGGGGGCCTGGAATCTGAAAGAGAGTGAGATCGGATTTTAGTAGAAAACGCACATTCCTTGATAACAAACTGTCAAATATGGACATCAAATGGCATTATCTGATTCCAAACCGGTCCAAAACGGTAATTACTACTTGCTGGACACGTAATAAGGCAATTTATTATGCTGGCTCGCTCATTAGCTAGCTAACGGGTCCATAGTCGTTCATAACGCCATTCGCACTGAACCACGGTCCCGATGTCAAACTACGAGGTTATGGTGTCAACCGACTTGATTGACGTTGACGTTACAGATGTTAGCATTACAAACAGTTGTCTCGGCACAGATTATGTATTAGTTAACGCAGGGGTTGTTCTTTTGGATAAATACGTGAAATATATTTACCGCTACCTACAGGAAAGTCACGTTGATTTAGTCCGAGCCGCTAGTTTCGTCATCCACGGTGAGCCCGGGAAGCTTTAGGAGGACGGACATCGGTGGTCAGCTAGCTTGTAGTTACAAGCACAAACTACAGATGCCAGACTCGCTTTACGTCACGGCGCAAATGTTGTCCGTAGACAAATATATATGGAAATATATTTTATTTTGTGAACGCTAATTAAAGATGTGTTTGGGGAAATTATGGCCTTCTTTGACGGTAAATGAAGCAAGTGCAAAGTCTGAAAAGGCCCGGAACCAAGTTGAAGCGGAACTGATATCATGCACACAAGTGCAGCCGGAAGCGCTGCGACACACAGGAAGGGAATGCAACGTTATATCAAGTTTACTCACAGAGCTCTCGTATGATTATTATCATTATCGTACAATACAGATATAGTCATACTTTCCGCTCCGCTTGATTTGATAAAGACCAGGCAACAAAGATGCTTATTAAAGTAAAGGTGAGGCCCAGCGAGTGTAACGTTAACGTTATTCCGTTTTAACCATGAACCCAACGAGAAACGTCTTAATGGTTCTTACTTCTTTTTGTTATTTCAGACGCTCACAGGCAAAGAGATCGAGATCGACATAGAGCCCACAGACAAGGTACACAACGTTGATGGTCTTTTATTCTCCCCGTATGCCGGAGATTACCCTCGTTATTCAGTGTGTGTTCACGTTTTACATTGATCTCGATCCAGGTGGAGCGGATTAAAGAAAGGGTGGAGGAGAAAGAAGGGATCCCTCCACAGCAGCAGAGGTTGATCTACAGTGGAAAACAGATGTAAGAATCAGCTTTAGATGTTCTGGATTCTTTGATGTTGGCAACATTTGTTGATCACTGCTAACTAACTTAACAACGCAGTGATTCTTCACAAGTACTCTGTGTATCTAAAGCCCGGTGAATCACTGGTGGTTTGTTTTAGGTCCCACATATTGTAGTCCTAAACAAATGCACCGTTTTCAATGTGGGGGTGTTTCTGCTGTCTGACGTCTTCTGCCTTCCATCCCTTTTGCCCCCTCCAGGAACGATGAGAAGACTGCAGCCGACTATAAGATCCAGGGAGGCTCCGTTCTCCATCTGGTACTCGCTCTGCGAGGAGGACGGCTGCTCCTCCCTCCGGGAACCCGGCGCTCAAAGACTGCGTTGTAGCCGGGTACACCGGGGGACACTCGGCAATGTGTTGTGCTGTCAGTATCCCAGGCAACACGGAGCCCTTTGTAGAATGAGTCAGAGCAGGTGCTGCAACACGATTCCCCCCCAAATGTCACATTGTCACGGCGAGACGTACACGTGGAGGCGCCCCTGGCAGGGAAGGCAAAGTTACTTTAAGAATAACACAAAGGTCCGGCCAAAGATTTAGAAACGAGAGCTAATTTGACTGCCACAGAAAAAAAGGAGTACAGGTTGTTCTCTGACTCTTTCTGTGGCTCCGCCTGCATTCGTTCCAAAAAAAACGGAGAGAATCGTAACTTAAAGAAGATTCAGGGGAAAGCCATCCTTGGATTCATCTTTGCATTCAGAGTGTGACACAAACTACCCCCCGTTTCTGCTTCAGCCGTGTTTTATTCAGTTTTCTGCAGGTTGCCCCGAGTCACTAGGTATTATCATCGGAGGCCACAGGGTTTGTCCGCATAGTAAAGGGGGGGGATTTTATCTCGCCAAGCGCCCATTTGTGAGAGATGTGGAAAAACTATGAATGAAGGACAAGTCAGTTTGCTTTTAGTGGGAAGCAAACCTCCCATCACTGATTCCTAATACGGAGAGTTTGCTTTACACCTGGTTGATGAACACACTGTCAATTCAGTTGGATAATGTTCAACATAGTGATACACGTATGAATTTGATTTGTAAAGTGCAATTTGTTGATTTTTGCTGATTGTACATTTTATTTTTACAAAAAGACAAGGACTGTAGTTTACATGGATGTTGTTAGGTCTGTTTGTGTGTTTAGAGAAGCCACATTAGTTTTGGGATTGCTGTGTCAGCACTGTGTACCTCCCCAGTGTGTACAGGATGGTGTGAAATACATTTATGTTGATGACTTCCATTCACCACTCGGTGTCATAAATTCATTTTTCAAAACAGCTGAACAGAAGTCCGGTGAAAATTCTTACATTTTTTATTGAGATCACACACACGCCGCCTGATGCATTTACATTTGTACCTATAAAACAATGATTTAAAAATAAGATTTTTACCTGGCAAGGATTTATAGTAAGCTGCTGTCTCGCTTTGAGAAAAACTACTTTGATTATCAGAATATATGCTTGTTAAAACATAGAAAACGTCATACTTCGACCGTATCGAAGGCCTTTTTGGGTCTGAATTACAGCAAGAAGTTGCAGCTCGTTGGGGAACGTTGAGCAGCAACACAATCGGCACAGTTCAACCGTCTGTAGAGTTTAAACGGTGAAGCTCTGAGTGCACAGGTGACTGCAGTAACGTTGCAGCATTTGATTCTCGAGGTGAAAACATTCTCAGGCCTCATTGATTTACAGACGAGAGTCTTGCTGAGAAATGTATTGTTCATGTCACAAGTTAAAACTTGAAATCATGAATATAAAGAAATATAACTATAATATTACTGAAAGCAAAGAAAATGACAAACTTTGAAATGATCGCACAGTGGAATGAACAAAGACGGCTATAAATGAGGCCTTGGGTTACAAATTCAAACCGTAGTCAGTGGTCTTTATTTACGAAGAGACAATATACAGACATCTGTGTATGATCGGTAAATACACAATATACATACAGCCACAAAACACAATCCATTGTACTTATAAAGACATCTAAGACACCCTGTTCCCCTTTACAGTTCAACACGTTACTGGCCCAACTTGGACGATACTTGATAGTTTAACAGATTCACTTGTTGCCGTCTCGTCATTGCTTTCTGGGACTCCCGGGGAAATAAATATCTAGAAGCACCAGTACAGACATTTCGCACTAACAGGCTGTATTTTTCCATCAGACCACCAGATCTGCGGAGTTGTGGCGATCTGGGGGTTTTAGGCAGTGTACTGTGTGTAAACAGAGGGAAGTGGGGATGCCCTGAGACGCTAAGAGATTATAGAAAGGCCGAAGACACAAGAGTATATGTGAGTTATGTTGTCACTACGAAATACGACGTGGGTATAGATGCATAACTACTGCCAGACACACACAGAATGGTTCACTCAGGGGTGTTCTAGTGTCGTACTAAAATCTCTTCTAGTCAATTGTATGAATAAAAAAAAGGCTTTTTCTTTAATGTAAAGCTTTAATTTTCACAACCTAAATTAAGAACAAAAAACAAACAAACACTACCTAGATGGTAAGCTACAAAAATACTTATTCCATAAAACGTGTGAGACAATCAATGCCTCCTTAAAAAAGGAAAAATAAAAAAATGACGCAGGCATTCACACGTGTCAGTGTCGGGATTTGCACGTTAACACTATCATGTCCTGCTTATTCATTTATTCTATTTAACACGCTGGACTTGCAGTTAACGGGTTGATTGCCAGTGTAGTGTACAATAATCCACTTTGTTGTTGTTGTTGTTTTTTTGTTACTTCCATAAACATTGAAGTTACCTCAAAACGGAGGTGCATGTGCACCCAAATACTGGCTGTCTTCTAAGTTAAGGCAATCGATTAGAAGTGTGCAACATTAACCGATGCAAAGCACGGATCACACATCAGCTTTCAGGTGTACACAGCAGCAGTAAAAAAATAGGCCCAGATGTATGTGATGTTGAGTAGAAAAAAAAAGAATATTAACAGAACTAAAATTGACATATTGAAAGTAAAATAACATCAAAATACTTCAAATGATATAAACAATTACTGTAAATTACAAAAAAAAGACACACATTTCAGAGTCAGTCACCTTCAAAACAACACAGTACTTAGTGTACTTAAACTTCAACATGAAATGTCTCGATCTGATTTTCTGCTCGAAATACAGCTTTGGTGTGTCGAGTGGATGACAAAGCGACGTCATTTACAACGCAAAGAAACAGTGTGTGTGTGTGTGTGTGTGCGTGCAGCCGTCACAGGAGAACAAGAGTCTGTTGATAAAGCAAATTAAAATAGTAGTGCACGAGGAGTGTGCGGGGAGTGTGCGGAGGAAGAGAAGCGGGCTGAAGACGTGTCAATGTGTCTGTGTATTAAGCCTGTAAGGAGAAGACGACCTTTCTTTGAAGAAAGCCCCTTTCTGTATTGCACTTTTGAAAGACCCCGGGCAGAAGAGTTGGAGGTCATATTACTCTAAATATCTATATTTGGCACACAAATTATTGATTGATATGCAACCAAACCAAAATATTTAAGACAAAGTGTTAATACACTACAAACTGTTGTGTACGTTTGCATGTTTTTGTGTGTGTGTGTGTGTGTGTGTGTGTGTGTGTGTGTGTGTGTGTGTGTGCGCGCCTCTGCACATGTCTGTTCATTTTGTGGCAGCGGGAGACTTTTAGCAGTCCGCCGACTTGTGGTGGTCTCCGTCCTCCTTGGACAGAGGGGACCGGGCCTCCTTCATTTCCTCTCCTTCCTCTCCGCTCTCGACGCTGTTGCCCATGGCCGGATAAACCACCACGCAGAACTTCTGGCCCAGGTACGTCATCTTGTCTGGGAGAAGAGGGGGGGGCAAAGGGTTTTTAGGTCTTTTTAATTGGGGGGCAATTTTTATGACGTATGAAGAAAGATGTATGAAGAAAAAAAGTGTGTTTCATCGTGCAGGGTGAAAACGTTCTCATCTCACCACTGGCAACTTTGACTAGCAAACGACTAACTTACCAACGAACGCGTCGAAGCACTGCGGCTTGTTGTCCCAGTAGACTCCCAGGAAGTAGACCGGGACGCCAGTCAGCATGATGGCCAGGCCGATGCCGCACACCACGGGCTCGGAGTACAGGGAGAAGATGAGCAGGAAGGCCCAGAAGAGGAGGTAGATCACCGGCCAGATGAGGCTGATCTGCAGGGGGGGGGGAACGCGGCAAATATTATCACACTCATGTGACCGTCCGGTAGTTTGTGCAACAATTCAACCTTTTGAACCCTCCCCCTTATTGAGGCCCCGAACGGACCTTGATCGGTCGGTGCATGTCGGGCTGTCTGATACGCAGGACAATCTGCCCGGCGACAGTGACTCCGTAGAAGAGGTAGTTGATGAAGCCCACGTAGTTGATGAGGGTGTACATGTCACTGGTGCACAGCATGAGCAGGGTGGACAGGCACTGGGGAGGAAAGCAGGAAGGAGAAGCTTGAGGAGACGCCGTGATGGGGAGGGCGTGCCCCGGTGGGAGAAGCTACTCACGGTGAAGAGCAGGGCCGGGATGGGGGTGCAGCGTTTCACGTGGATCATGGCCAGCAGGCTGGGGAGGTGGCCCTCTCGGGCTCCGGCGAAGAACAACCTGCGAACGCACGTCCGCGTTTTACACGGCGTAAAAAAAGAGGAAGACGGCGCAAGGCCGACACGTTTTCATTTCACTCGTTTACCGCGAGGACGTGAAGAGGGATCCGTTGACTCCCCCGAAGGTGGAGAGAGCCACAGAGATGGGCATGATCCACGACATGACTCCCAGCAGCTTCTCGCCAAACGTCTGGAGGACGGAGGTTAGAGGTCAAGAGGTCGGAGGAAACAGGAGGCAGATTGAGAGGCGCTTATCTCATGTGGGTTTGCTATTAAAAAAATGCAGCCACTGAGGCTCAAAAGGCCTCGTGCCAACACATCCGACTCGCTAGAGGGCGGCATTCTACTACCGAAGGTGTGTGTGTGCGTGTGTGTCACAGTCACGTGATACTCACCACGGCAACGGCGTTCGAGGCGAGCAGCTCCTGGGGACTCATGGCCGTGACGTAGGCGATGTTGGCAAAGACGTACACGAAGGTCACAAGGGGAATGGAGATGAAGATGGCCCGAGGAAGGTTCCTGGAGACGACGCAAGCAGCGACGTTAAGGAGAGGAGGAGGAGCGTTGAAGAGACAAAGGAGGCTCAGAGGGGGTTTTGGAGAGAGACACTGTACCTTACGGGAGGTGCATTCATGGATACCGGGGTTATTAAAAAAAAGTGGGATTGTTATAAAAAGAAATCAGAGGAAATGAAGAAATAAACCACTAAATTCTACCAGAAAAGTGCTGCATTTCAGAGAGCTTAATAAAAAATGCTGCTAAATCGGTGAAAACGCGGCGGGCTACTTTTTCCATTCTGTACCACGGGAAGGCGTTTTTAAGCGAACGAAATGTGACTTATGAGATATGAGCAGCAGAGTTAAGTGTCTTACACATAAGGGTCCACCAGCTCCTCTGTGACGTAGTTGAGGAAGTTCCACCCGCCGTAGGCAAAGGAGCCTTGTAGGAAGGCTAAGGCTATCAAACCCACGTCATACTCCTGGAAAGGCTCGAAGGCGTTGGCTGGCTCCAACCAGTAGTACTCTCCTGCAGGTGGGGCAGATAGTGCAAAAGACGAGGGGACATATTTTTATTTTTTTGGTCTGGCACGGAGGCATTTTGAAATATCCCAAAATGGTTTAAGTTTGAGAAAAACCCTCAACGATCTTTTGCCACCTTTATACATTCTCCGCCGTTCGGTGCATTCTTCCTGTAATCCCCCCCCCCCTCGAGCCGTGTTTTCAGAGAGCATTAAAGTATTTCTACCCCCACATACCGCCGCCCCCCCCGTACATGATGCAAAGTCTCCCATCGAATCAGCCAGCGGACTCTTCATGTAACTTCAAAGGCTCGGACAGAAATCCTCATTCGGTTGTTTCAGGGGGTCGCAGTCTCTGTGGCCCCTTGTGATAACTGGCCCTCGGCCATGTTGGGACAGCGAACCCGCCATGGCGTGCTGATGTTAGCAATGTGAGTTTGAACAAGAAGAAAGGAGCCGCAGAAACTCGCCGACCCCCCCCCCTCGGGGGCCGCGGGGAGCCTACACAGTCCCCGATGACCTAAGGCGACCCCAATGACCGCAGGGACGAGAGAGGGACGTTTGCGTGGACACGAGCTTACCCTTGCAGATCTGCACCAGGCCCATGACGATGATGAGGGCGAGGGCCAGCAGCTTGCCGGCGGTGAACACGTCCTGCACCCTGGTGGCCCACCTCACGCTGGAGCAGTTCACCCACGTCAGCAGCACTGGACGAGGACAAACGAAACACGGCACAGCGCGGAGTTAACGCCGATTCATTCGACCCCGGATGCCCCCGTCCGTGGGTCCTCTGAGCTTTAAGATCATTCCGCGCGCTGCGGCAAACATCACTTTTTTTTTTCAACTATCTGTGAAATGCATGCAACTGAAGATTCTGCACTCCATTTTATGAGATGTTGCATGTTTGCGCCGCTCTGTAGAACAATACTTGGCTGCGCAATACGGCTGAAGCGATTACAGTGCATAGATTAGAGGTTTATGGTAGACTGTTGTAACGCGCTCATAAAGGAACTGGCACTGCATCGTACGTGGAAGTAAAACTCAGCTCAACAAAAGAACTTAAGCGGCGGTACGGTTTTCTCGTTGGAAACCGAGCAGATCTCAGGTCAGGGGAGAGACGAAAAGCCACACACTCAAACACGTGTCACACTGTGTCGACACTGTGGAGACCTTGGAGTCGGTTGCCATATAATTGCATTGAACTTCATTATCTCTTGCAGGATCCCTTTCGTCTCACATGTAGTGGAGCAGGTATTTCATAATCGCCACCTTCTGTAACTCAAAGTATCATAATAATTGATCTCTGTCATAGATTACAAACTCCACTCTTCTGGCAGCTTCAGAAGCACAACATGTGAAAACATATCAGGAACTAGACGATGACCAATAAAGCGCAGATAAGGGATTTGATCTGTGCTGCTGCAACAGGCCAAAAGGGTGCCATTGAATATGAGATGAGATTAAGTTGACCACATTAATTAAATAACTGCAGGGAACAAAGGCAGATGCGCATGAGCAGACATGCCCGGATACTGTGACAGCGGGTTCGTTTGCAGCTGCTGCAGCGATGTCGTGTTTTTAGGTTGGTGGGGGAGAAACTTCCTGCCACGTTTGTTCAAGTAGACAGAACAAGAGTTCTTTAGTGAAGGGAGAAGCCGCCGAGGTGCCGCTTCTCCCCATAGAAAATTAAAAAAAATAAAAAAAAAACAGGAAATGAGAAACTGAACTGAAATAAACACTGTCGCCGCCCAGAAAAATAAATAGAACTTGAACCTCTTTGGTTTGTGAGAACAAAGTTGTTCTGGGGGATCTTTCGGCAACGCGCCGCGTCCCGGTGACGACACGCGTGACCCCCGCTACTCCTCTGCGTGCCGACTGACAGGCCGCGAGTAAGCACCTGCGGAACAGCTTCTCGGGAGACGCGGGGGGCCGAGGGGCCGCGCCGCTGTCCGTAAGCTGAGTATACAAAGTGTGTGCATGGAAACCTGCTGGGTTAACCACGAGGCTGCTGGAAAAAGTGACTCTCTCTGCCACCTGCGGGAAAGAGGCGGCGCCCCCCCAGGGAGAAACCCCTCGGCGTGTTTTGGAAACGGAACACCTTGACAAACCTCTGCCGAGCAGGTTGAAGTGACCAGAACTACGAGCGACATCTGCTTTGCTCAGCCGATCTTGGGTTTGCTGGTAAAGTCGTACGTATCTGTTTGCGTTGTGAGCGGATTATCTCAGAAGCCTGCAAACAGGTTTGGATGCAACCAGAAGGAAGCAAAGTGACAAAGGAAATACTCCACTTAGAATTTTAAGCGCATTGAGTTGCTGCACATGGAATCTGTTTAAACGCTTTTGAGATATCCTGCTGAAGGAGCGAAACATCCTCTTCAGCAGAGGGAATCGAGATGCGCGTGTCACGGTGCGCGCCTTCGGGAAGTCGAGAGATTTCCTCGTTGTCGGTCCACACCGGGCGTCTGCCAGCGAACAGCATGTCACATGACGTCCCTTCCAACTCCAGGGAAAAAACAACAGCTCTGCCGATGGTTTCAAGGGAGAAGCAACACTACTTTTTTTTTTTAGCTTAACTTTTTTTTTCCCTTCCCCAAAAAGATGATTAAAAACATATTTGTCCTCCCTGAATCTCACCAAAAGGATGTTTATTTGACCTTAATGGGTAATAACAGAGAACAGCCTGGTTTTGTGATCATCCAAGAGGCCAACGCACACACACACACACACACACACACACACTTCTCCAGTGTCTATCTGGAGGCTGCCTGCGGTATTTGGTCAGCGTGTGTGAACTTTGTTGAGGGATTCAAATCAACAACCGAAACACCTTTATCCGTTTGTCTCCCCGGATTCACTGCCCGGTGCTGCAGTTCGCTATCTGCTCAGCGATGCTAGTCGACCTCCGACTGAGCGCTCAATAACAACAGAGCTTCAGAGAGGAAAAAAAAAGAGAGGGGGAAACTAGGTCGTGGAAACGGGACGAATCAGGTCTTAATTCAGCCAATATGTCTCTGCTTTGAATAGATGTGACTGATAGGCGCACTGCGCAGTACGAGAACTTTTATGAGTTTTGTTCGGCAACCAATTTCTCAACCCTGAATGTATAAATTGTCGTTATTTGAATCATGGATTTACTGGCAGTTTTTTAAACGTTTGGGCCAGCAAGCCCACTCATAACAGACCCTAAAGACGTTTAATGAAGCTGCTGATGACTGCGGAAAAACTGCAGCTCAGGCTTTCATCCAATTTGTGCGTAATCCACGCGGCTCATCACCAATCCCGGGTCACGCGGGTGCTCGTCGCTGAGAGTCCCTGCGCGTTGCTACTCACAGAGGCAGACGCCGGCCAGGAGACGCAGGCCGTTCTCCGGCGGGAAGCAGGTGGGGAACAGAGGCTGCAGGACGTAGTTGGAAAACGTCAGCGCGATCACGGCCTGGTTGGTCGGGTAGATCACCAGCACGGCGATCCACAGCCGCAGGAACCTGAGCAGGAACACAAACGTGGGGGTTACAAACGGTTAGAAACACAGAGGCTGGGGAGAAGCAGCGGGGTGTTGGGAGAGCTCGCAGGAGGAAACACATCACAAAGGCCCGCGGCACATTTACATCCTTCCATTTACTGAATCCCATTCAAAGCGGGTTATTTCAAAAACTCAAAGTCACAGGCCGGGCCTCTCACAGTACTCTCAAATGTCTTTGTAGTTGTGTCAGTGTAGTAAACTGTTTGGAGATGTCCCCTTGGGCTTTAGGAACCGTGGTGGGAAACACAAAAACATTTCGATGGAAGAAACAGTAAGCAATTGCACCCTTACCCTGAACATGTGACGTATTCCAGTTTGGCGGCTCCGCCGGGTGATTAATTCTGCCTTTAAAGGCCGCGATCAGCCTGTTTAACTAGTTGATACTCGAAGAAGACACCGTGTTCCGCCAATACAGCGGCGCGGCGCGTTAGGCAGGGCGTGTTCGCTGCGGTATAAAACTGACAGGGGAAAGGGGTTTAGCCGAGTGTAGCAGGAGAAAAAAGACGAATGGCTTTGGCACGGAATTTCCTGAAAGCTTAAAAAAGCTCATATAATGAGGGATTGTTACACCTGACTGCGTTGACAGGATTGTTTCTCGCCGGAATGTGTGTGTAAAAAATGTAATGCTGTGTTTGAATGCTGACTGAACCCTCCACGCAGGCACGATCTTCTATACAAATAGGACTTTGTGGTTGGTTGTCACTCACAGTCCCGCTCTTAATAATTTCATACAATCACTGCGTCCCATGGCGTCTGTAGCAGTCTCTACCCTGCATATTATGGGCGTATCACAAGCCTCGGTGGTCCGGCACAACGGCCTTTGTACTTGAAACGTTATCCATTCAAGCGTTTGCCGCTACGAGCGCTTCCTCTTCTTCTACCAGCCCGCCCTTTCCACCAGGTGCGACGGGCTGATGTGAGCGGTTCCTCGACTTACACGTTTACGCGGGGATGAAAAGGAGCAGGACAACGGAAAAATAAACACCGCTTGAACAGGATTTATTTATCCTAGTCAGCGGGCGCGGGGAAGCGGTGAGGCCCCAACACTTCAAACCCGACCACGAGGTCCCTGGAGGGAGGCGTTCATTGATGTGTATTGATAGCTTCTGCACAAAGGGATAGAAACAATCATTGACTGTTTTGTTTGGTTGAATTCCTCTCCCGAAATACCCCGATAATATGTGTTCTTGTGATAGTTGAAAAAACAATGGTCCGATCTGTGTTTACAGTCTGGCCAAAGGCACAGTGTGTGTGAGATACACGCTAACAAACGATATTGTTTTCCTCGGAAATGAAAAGAGCGCGGTTCCCAAGCGTCCGCCGGGTTACCTGAAAGCCAACCATTTGTGAGACCGCCGTTTAAACGTCTGGTTTTAATAAATGCTTGTTTGTCTAACTTCTGCACTTGACTCCAAATAACAGGCCGCCTGCTTTGGATGAAGATGGCTGACCTACATGAGCAGCCTCATCCACCAGGATAAAGAGAAGAATCGGCCTACGTTGGTCTGCTCAACGGAATCCACGTCAAATTAACTTTAATTGTTTGGGATGTGCCTTTTTCAAAAAGAACAAGGGGCACATACTTAATAGACGTTACTGTCGGCTTTTATGTTCATTATGAACAAATCCACCATTTGCCTTAAAATAACTTTGCTAGGGGCGGCTCGTAATCTCATAAAAAACCCACCCGAGTGCCCCTCTGATGGCTTCCAAACTACGAGCAGATGACTGAACGTCTCACCCGGCCAGCCCTCCGAAGATGTCCTTGACGTAGGAGTAGTCTCCCCCCGACTTGGGGATGGTGACGCCCAGCTCGGCGTAGCACAGCGCCCCGATGGCCGTGATGACGCCCGTGACGATCCAGACGATCAGGGCCATGCCCACGGAGCTGGCGTTCTCCATCACTCCCTTCGGGCTGACGAAGATACCCGAGCCGATAATGTTACCTGGCGGAGAGGGAGAGAGAGGCGTCTGGTGTCAGTGCAGGTTGAAAAAAAGAGGTCGTTGTCAGCTTTGAGGAGCTTCGGGCTTTACGTTTGGGAATAAGCAGACAAGTACCGTTCACAATTTCGAGGCATTACATCATCGCTACGTCACTTCTGTAGCTCTGGTTAACCTTTGAGAAGGTGGAGGCCCCAAGAGCCACCTGTTGTCACAGCCTGAGCTCGAAAGCATCGAACAGCGAGGGAAATTAGCCTAGCTTAGCATTAATACTAAACTTGAAAAGGGCCCTCGTCCAACCGCTAACACGCTCACTGAATGATTGTTATATTTTTGTTTAATTCCCATACAAACTGGGACAACAAGAACCTAAGAGGTCACGGTTTAAGATCCCAAACGTACATAATCGCATTCCTGTTTGTGCAACATACAATGAGGTGACACACAACATGCCAACGGGAGACTGCTAGTTGCACAGTTTGAGCGACTGAGCTGTAGCGGCGGAGGCATCGGGGTAGAAAAAGGAACTTCTAATCTGCTGACTTTGCACAGTAAGGATAAGATGGCACGAGACCGAGTGGGGTGAAAGAGTACAAAGAGAGAGAGGAGGGGGGGTCAGAGGTAGACGCAGAGGGGGGAGAATAATTCCCTGGCAGATTCAATGAGCATCAGAGCGCCCGGTATTTTACGCAGGAACTGAAAGATAGAGGGACGGGCCGTCGGGGCCGTCGGGGGTTCTGGAGCGACATGAAAGCCGGCGAGATTATCCTCCAATCAGATTCAGCTGACCGGGTCTGACGGAGCTTGAAACGGGGAGGGGGGGGCAATGAAAAGGTGTCAGGCTCAAAGGTTGAAGGTCGAGGACGGTGACTGAATGATAGGGTGAGATTACAATTTTACAGCACAAATATCAAAGGTATGAATAGTAACTTCCTGCAGAGTTAAACGGCGTGCAGAGTTTATGGGGTTCATCTTTTATGCTACAACGGACAATGAACTAAAACGTATTAAGCTATTAGACAGATTTTGATTACTTCAGGTCTCTCAACTATTTCAAGCACACAAATATAATTAACAGAAAACTGAACTCAAACCAAAGATAAATTAATAACACAAATCATCAGATAAGGTTGGAGCAATACACTGAAATGCTGATATGGCGACACCCAGAAAAAGGCTGCAAGAAAGTCACTCTTTACCTGCCTCCTCTGATCAATTATATTCTAAAATACATGAATATATGCCAAACCGCTGGACTGAAAAGCATGACGACACTGTCACCGCTTCCACGTGAATATGTGGTAAAAATGTAAAAAAAAGGTTAAAAAAAGAAAGAAAGGAAAGGTAACAACAAAAAACCTCACACCGCTGATGACATGGACATCTTTATGTCCACAGTGGTCGTTAGCGGATGACCTTTGACATCTGGGCGCGGGGGGCAAAGTATGCCTCAACTCAGCACTTTCCTCAAACTCCCTGATGTGCTTACGGTTTGCAGAAGCGGATGAAAGCGGCGTGCTGGTTCTGGTTTGAACGGGTTCATTACGAGACATTTATTTCAGGTTGAGCAAATGTGCACGCTTGCATGTTGCGCGTCGGCGACATTTGCTGCGTAGCGCTGAAGCGTGCGAGACATGCTGACTCTGTGGAATCGCTTTAGGCTTCCTGTACTCGTGGTCGTCGTTTCTTTTTTTTTTTTTTTAAACATCTGTTTGTCTTCCACAAAAGGCCAAGAGAGAACATGATATTTAAAACGTGAACATCAAATCAGAACCAAAGGCTCTTTGTCATATTTGTGGATCTTCTTTTTTTTTTCCAGCAGGCCTCAGCCTCTTGCAGCACAGGATATTTTGTTTGTAATCGGCTTGTGGCTTTGCAGAGGAAGAGGCTTGGCCCTTAACATGCGCCCCGAGCACACGTTTTCTGCCTCTCCTGGACTTTGTTAGATGCCTTCAGACTGCAGCGACTATCTAAGACATCACAACCAGCATTTTTTTTCCCATTATCGTTTATAATTTGTAATAAGCCAATCAATTTCTCTCATCATCTTTGCTATGATCCCCTTGTCCCAGTGGAGGCCAAACATGCAACACAAGAGAGACACAACCGGTTGGAGTTATTAGTTTGCCTCCACGACATGTGATCGACAGCAGCGGACTATGAATATTAACGAGCACGTGTGTGTGTTTGTGCAGCCTTATGATATAATCACCCTTCATAAAGCCTCTCTTGGATTAGTGCTTGCATTTCCACCCGCCGTTAAAGCCCTGTTCAAACAGCCACCAAGCTGAGGCAACCTGCTGCCTGGCCCCCAGCCAGACGCTGACGGACCCTGCGGGGCCCGAGGGGCCTCGCGCGAGTTATTATATCGGCAAATCAATCCACGACGCCGAGGCAATTCGAGAGAAAGGGGAAGGTTCGGGCGCCATCGCAGCTTCTGTCGGCTCGGGATTTAAGAGACATGAAGCCGCTGCGGTAGCACAGAGCCGAGCGCACGCGTTTTATGAAATTGAAATGTGTGCAGCAACCCAATTACAGAACACACTGGCTCAGACATGGCTAAGCCGGGCAAGCTAATAAAAACAGTATTATCAGGGCAGGGCCTTCCTCCAAGTAAAGTTCCCAACTCCTGATTCTGCACATTTCTGGATCCATGTGTGTGTGTGTGTGTGTGTGTGTACTGCACAATGGGGCCTGAAACCGCTTAGTGTCCCCCGTGAGCTCGGGGCCGTTTGCATGGAAACCCAGCGGGCCGTGTTCAGGCTCAGACGAGTCACCTGACGGGGCCGGCGGGCCTGAACATGACCGTGAATGAGTGACCTTGGTCAAGGAGAAAAAAAAGAGGCTGCCAAGAACAGTCCGGTGACTCGGCCGGGCGGCGTGGACTCTGCACGGCCGTAAAGTAATCCCCCCTCAGATTGCGTGAACGGATTAACGCCGCCGGGCCGGTTTCTTTACATCTGGCCCGTAAAACGGTTCAATCAGCGGCGTTATCTACATGCTGTCGTGCAGATACGCTCGAGTGTGGGGCAACTGGGGAAAGAGACGTCGGCAGCTCTCTGCAATCATCTCCGGACACGATCGCCGCCTTCTTTCTAGAGAAATGTCTGTATATGGGTTAAACTTGAGAAAGACCTTCGCAAGAGGTTTAAGCTGTAAATCACAAAGTAAGAAAGAACGCAACCTTCTCGACAACACTTTCAAAGCTGCTCTTCATTTCTCTCTCCCTTTTCTCCTCCCGTTACCATGGAAACGCAGGAGCGAATGAGTCAGTCCCTATACTCTTCATCCCGCCAAGGTCAGACCACACACACACACACACACATTCACCTGGACACCTCGTATCGATCCACCTGCTGTCTGAATGTCTTGTTTATTGTACTGAATGAAGATTCAGAACAATAAACAAAGATAATGTGTTCCAAAGATAAGGTCAACACAGCTACGCTAGATTGTTAATGATACATCGGCATCATCATTTAATTGGGTTCAACCGTAACGAGATTGTATGAAATAGAGTGACTTAGATTAGGTGCATCCAAGGAAACACTGATTACATCACCGGGCTCCACGTGCACAATCAGCACAGTGCACTTTTGAAGTTTGAAGTCAGACTTAGATATTTGTTTATTTCAAACGCAAGTGAGTCAGTCCTGTGATCCACATTGTTGTGAATTGGGCCTTAAGCGGGACCGATTCCAGACTGCGGACTACTACGTTGCGTTTGCGCTAACCGCTGTCCGCGTGCACGGCGCACATCTGTAGGTCACGTTCGCTGCTTCCTTATCGCGAAACACCCACGCATCATAAACGTAAAGCTCCTCATTGACTGCCTTGCATAAAGGTCATGACACTGAAAACACACAACACCCCCCGCCCTCATTTAACTGTTGGTTCTACTACGCGCAACAAACACGAAGACTGTTCGGATCCACGACAGAGAAAGTCCCGGAAGGAGTAACTCACCCACGATGATTCCGCAGGCGCTCACCAGACCGATTTCCTTCTTGAGGGCCACGCCGCCGCCGGAGTCCTTCTCGCCGGCAGCATCCCCGGCGGAGCCCGACGTGCCGCTGCGCTTCCGAGCACCGTCCGTCATTTTGAGGCCGATTGGACTTTTGTTGTTGTTGTTTTTGTTGGTGCCGAAGTTATTGCGCAGTCAGCAACCTGGGGCAATAAGGTGTGTTTTTTTTTTTTTTACACTAAACGAATCAATGAAATGTATTCACACAAAAATAAAATACATGAATTAATCAAGTTCAGGCAGTTGGGGAGTCACGTGTCCTTCGGCCCCGACGCACGTTACCTAAAAGGTATGAGTGCAGCTCACATGCAACACAATCACCTCTGCTTGGGTGGCTGCTTTGGCGCTACAGGTCCGGGTTCTAAACGCGCATCAAGTCCACAAAAAAGCGCATATTCCCACGGAGTTGCTTGAAAGCCACACGAGGAAATAAATGATGTGTGTCAAATATTTCAAAAACTACAAAAAGCTGTCACCGTTTCCTTGTTCCCAGGTGTGAGCAGGAGACACAAACGCATCCTCTCTGCGCACAACCAGAAGCCGTTCAGGTTCCGCCTCACGCACATCCGACCTGTGTTTAATCCAGACGGAAAAGGTTGCATTGGAGTCTCCATGGTCTTCTACGTATTAATACAGTAGCGCCGCCCCCCCCTCCCCCCCAAACCCCGCCCACTCCAAAACTGGATTAATACCCCCCCACCGCGGACCCTCCCATCTCTCTCCCAACCATCAGCTGTTCCTCCCAAAGCACTTCTGCTGCTGCTAATGCCGCCAATGGATTCCTCCCCAAACAAGGCAGCTTGTGCATGAAAAAACAACAGAGATGATGCTTTCAGGGACACCGGTAATCCCTCACGTGCACTTGTTTGTCCGCCGCACTTCCTCGAACAGTCTGTTCTCTCTCTCTCTCACGCGCGCGAGAAGAGAAGCTTCCTCGCTCACACTTATTATTCAAGATGCAGCACTGCTTCTATATTTAGCCCTTTTGACAAGAAGTCGCTCAATGTGATGCAAGGCTGCTGGTGTGTGTCCATCCTGTACGCTCATCGCTGCTTGGTTTCCCCCCCCCCATCTGAATTCAAATGATAACGTCACCTGAGGCGTGACCTTGCATGCAGTCAAAAACAGGGTGCTTTTAGTGAATGATTTTACATAGCATCAATAGGACCAATCATGCCTGTTCGCCGTTTGTTCGATATTTGTCCTCCCTGCAGAAGCGTGTCCGGCGTTTTTATCTTTCCGAGGACATTTTGGGGACTATTGTCCATGCTGTGAGCAACTGTGAAGTTATGCATAACAGCAAAGTGACTAAAAAGAAAATAGCTCTGGTGTCAAAGTGTCTTTGCCTTTAAATCAGGATACGCATTCAGCCAAAGAAGCAAAGTTATTTCCTCATTCTTTAAAGATGAGAACGAAAGTACACCTCATTGTTGAAAAAACAATTCTAGCATTATTTATACCTTTTTTTGTTGACTTTAGAACGATAAAATGAATGAATTGGACTGGAACAACTGTTGGATGCAGCCAAATCAAGTCATTGGACAGGTGTGGGTTTCGGTAAAGTGATCCTGCATGTACCTGGTCAGTGAAGCAGGAAGGGGTGCACACGGCTCACTGGCCGTGCACGTGCTCGACCGTTCGCTCACAAGCTTCCCTCTCCTGCGGGATGGTCACGCTCACCACAGGGCACCGTTAACCCACACAAGCTGCTGTTTAGCTTTATAATTGATCTCTCTGATTATGTCGCTTCTTGGTTGGAGGCCGCTGGAGTTTATGATGTACTCAGCAGTTCATTCTTTGTCGGTATTTCAAGTTTCTGCAATCTTGAGACCACAAATGTTGTTTTCAAGTGACCTGATGTCAGGAAATCTGCTGATCAATACGTCCATAGGAAGGCTTTCTGATCAAATATAAGGACCCTTTGGGCTCTGATGGTGTCAATGGCGTCGGTTCCCGGCACACTGATTGAATCCAAACAGCATCCATTTGGCACTGTTTACTTGATGGAATCAGATCAGCTTCTGATTGCGTTATTTACAGCAGGATAAAAGGATCTGATAAAATAATTACTTCAGGAAATGGAACCATTAGCTTATATAGGCTTCATTTTTATTGTGTTGATTTATTGGCCAATGGTTGCTGAATGTGAAATATCTTAAGCTGTTTTTAGTTTGATTAGTTGAACTGACACTCAACAAACCTGGGGGGGTATTTGCAGAAGTCACACGTCTTCCCGTCAATAAATAGCTTGAGTTTAGTTGGACATGTGTGTGCTTTGGTGTGTGATGAGCTTACTCGGCCGTCCGAGCCGCTGGCGGACATGACACATGGACAAAGAGGGGGCTCTCAACATGTTCTGCAGGAGAGCAATAAGCCCCCCGACTGAGAAACGTTTGGGCACGAGTCAAAGCGTACGCAACAAACGAACAAATAAAGAGACGTGATTTCCAGGCACTGGAGGAGGGCCGTGTGGTTAAAACTTTACAGGTATGTCCTGAGTCAGCTGTTACTGGGAGTTAATCTCTCAGGTAAAGCTGACCCTGCACCTTTACTCTGATAGCGGTGTGTGTGTGTGTGTGTGTGTGTGTGTGTTGGGACATAAACAATGCCTGTACTCACACACAGAACAGTGTACTACAATGCTTTCAGTTACAATTTGGTGGGTTCCAATACAAGGAAAATGGGCTTGCTGTATTATTTTCTCGGCCTAATGAAAAGATGCATGTGATTAAAACTTCTGCTTCGCCAGTACTGGTTCATGATTTTCCCAAAAAGGCAGATTTATCTATTTGATCCACCTCTGCAGCCCTTTTTACGGTCCTCGCCACTCGTGCACACATTCCGTCTTTTACATCACACGGAAGCTTACGTAATCATCTAAAACATATGTCGACTCACAGCACACATGTCCACGCACACAATCTGCCAACCTGGAAGGTGACAGATCGGCTGGTGAAAGGCAGGGAGATTTGACCAGATAAGGCCGTTAATGAGTAACCCCCCACTGTTTCAGGTCGTTTGCTGCCCAGTGGCTGGAAAATTGGACCAATAACATGCAAACACAGAGGTAATGGCCGTGGTGCCTGGCGGGCCGGACCGAGAGGGCCGGAGCATGACAGCAAAAGTAATGGCTGGTTTACCGGAGTTGGGTTATAAAAGCTGAATCTATGTTTGATGGGTAGAGACAGACGGGTATCCGAACTTCCATCGTCTATGATGAGGAAATCACACACATACATTTTCTGCGATCGCTTTACAGCGAGGGCGCCTAAAATGTAGAGCTATTCCTTTATATACACTTTATTCAGCCACAATTGGATTTTTACTTTGCAGATGCATGTTCCCACACATACAGTCGAGGTATTTACTTTATCTCCCTTCGCTGGCTAAACTAAGCTGAACCTCTTCCTCTTACCCAGAGAGGTGGTACAACAGAGAGCTCCCTTTTCTGCCCGGTGATTAAGTGGTGAAATCTGAGATTAACTCAAAAAAAAAATCCCATTCTCATGGCCCTGAGCAGTCCGAGTCTCACTCCGGTCACATTTAACAGCCAATTAAAAAAGGGAGATGAAAGAGGGTAGATCACTGCTATTAAAACCAAGTACGACACTTTGGCGGATTACGTCCCTCCTGACAGACAGAGAGCACGGAACCTGGAGGACGTGTTCGGATCACCTTGAACCAGGGATACAAATGTTAAATCCGTTCATTTCTTCTTCCCCCGACAATGTATCACACACGCTTAAGAAACAAAGAAAAGCTAAAGAGTTCTCACCTCCCCAATACCCTTTTGTACTGTTCCTAACGTGACTTTCATTTATTTTTTTGAACGTGTTGCTGCTTTTAATCTCATACCTTCGACCTACTTTGTCAAAACGCTGCGCAGTTGAACAGAAGCCAGCCGCATTGACACAAAACACAAGAAAAAAGGAACGCGAGAGGCAATAAATGGAACGTCTGATTCGGGAAATCAGATCGTAGGAACAGTGCAAAGAGCCGTTAATCACTAGCACATTCCTTTGGAGCGGTGTCGCTGTGTAGGTTTGATGAAGGGGTCAGAGCTGTTGTTCTTAATGGGATGAGATAAGTTGTCAATGGAAGGAGCCTTTGCATGTCTATTTTTACCTGTTAGTGGGTATTGTCTCCTTTTCAAATGGTGTTTTGCTTCCTTTATTTAATTGAACAGAGATACGGTTTCCTCTGGTTACACTTCATTCAATTGTCCCCTTCGGATTTCATTTCTCAAAAAAAACAGGTTGCAGATTTGACAGAAGAATTGCTCTGTGAATAATAATCCTGCATGTTTGTAATGTGATTATACCTGAGTGAAGGGAAACGGCAAAAAGCCTTGTGCATTCAACAAAAAGAAAGAAAGTGAGAAGCAGCTGGAAGACGATACCAGGGGGAGGAGAAAGAGGAGGAGGCTATAGTTACGATGTCGCAACCAAAAGAAGGGAACATTGTGTCAGGTTTTAATAATAAAGATGGAACCAGCTCCGCGTTTGATGGCCCACACTCAAAAATACCTCCAGCTGGCCTCAGGTATAAATACATGAAAAATAACATGCTATTAAATACTCAAATAATGCAAGTTAAAGAAACCAAAAAGGCACAGATTCATCTATTGATACCACGTGTTAATGCTCATGTTTTGGTTTTTTTTACGAGCCGTCTTACGAACATCAGCGCTTCCCTCTCGCGTATTAAACCCCAAGCGGGGAGCCGGGCGATGACGCGCGCATGCAGGATGAGTCACGCTTTTCCAAGAACTGTCCCCGTCTTCCAATCCCGAAGGCAGCGTGTGTTCATTCCCGGGCATGCGGGCTGGTAATGTGGCTACCGCGGCTTGTTCTTCTGTCTATAAGAGGTCAGAGGTCACGAGGGGGGGCAAACATTTGGGAAGTGGAGATGTTTGTGACCTCGGCGAGAGAGACAGGAATGTGTGAATTTACAGTGAAGGGGGGCTGCCAAGGGGGGGAGAGGGGAAAGAGAGGTACTAGAAAGAAGCGATTGAAGGTCTCGAGGAGCAGCAGCAGGGGGAGGAGTGAGGTGGGCGTGTGAGGGGAGATGGTAACGTGAGCCTGGTGTTTACCATGTCCCGCCAAACACACGAGTCCTTAGGACAATGTGTACGAGGAGGAACACGCTTCCATCACGCCCCGGAAAAAGTCCTGGCTTTGGTAGCTGATTTTAAATAGAACCCGTAACCCGGGAACGTGACCGTGTGTCCACGGGACCCTGCACGAGAACCTGGAGGACGGTTTTGGGAACATTCAGCTCAAGGGGTTTCGGGGTTTTATGGCCCTCAAATAAAGCCGGTGGAGAACAGAAAGAGGGGAAAAGGGTTCAAAACCTCCGATGCATCATGTCTGCTGGATGTGTAAACGGGGAAAATGTTCGCTGACTCGTGTGTCGATATTGTGGCCCATTAATGCAGCCACAAGTTGTGTAATCGGTCATGTTGTCACATTTACATTGTTATGGAGGTAATGCAGTGTTGACTTCAACTGCATTAGATACACTTTGTCTCATTAAAATAAACCCACAAAAAATCTATTATTTGATTTGAATGTTGATTTTTTTTAGGGTTTAAGCGTTTCTTATGTTGTTGCTGATGGTTCA